GTGCTTACTTTTTAAATACATATTTTCCACAGTTTTAGGCTCTGAAATGTAATCATTTCTTTATCCGGCTATATGTTTTGAAGCCTGAAACTTGATAGAAACGGTTGGACCCACAAGAACCAGACTTGCCATGTGGAGTTTTTTTTTTTCTTATGTTCAGGTAGTAGAGTAGAATAGAGTATAGGGTTGTTGCATTCAAGTTCTGCTATTTTGGTCACAGCTGGTATTTCAGAAAAACTACAGCACTGGGCATAAAAATTGCTAAAATTGGCAACACTGCTGCTGCTACTGCTGCTGATGGTGATGATCGTCTGTCCAGTTGTCTGTCCAGTTGTCTGCCTTGTGTCATTCCAAGCATTCTGATATCAACACCTACATAAGCCGCAAATTGATTTGCAATTCAATTTCAGAACTCTGCCTTCAACGTTTGTCTCCTGCCTGCCTCCCTTCCCGCCATCCCGCCATCCCGCCAGCCTGCCGTGACTAATGTCCCCAACCACTCACACTGTCGCACTCACACACTCACACGCTGGCATTGTTTGAATTATTGCGATTTGAAAGGCATTGCGATTTGAACCTTTGACATGATGGCGGGCATGAATGCTAAAAATAAATGCTTCCCTTCCCCTCTTCTCTCCCTTCGCCTGTTTAGTCATTTAACCCGGTCTGGGGTCAGGGTTCAGGGGTCAGCAGCGAGAGCTACTTAACGCAAAATTGTGCAAATTATGTTCATCATTATCGTCATGTGTCTGTCATTATGCGCGCCACATTAAGCCACAAATCAAGCATGATTGCCAAAAATAAACAACAACAAAATACGAATAAATAATTGAGTGGTTGTGGGTGCGACAAAAACAGCGCGTAAAACGCGCCGAAGTCGCACCGCTCACAGGTGGAATTGAAGTGCCTTCGCTTTCTACACATATACGTGTGTGTGTGTGTGTGTATAAAAATATGTAGATGTGTGTAAATACATAATGTTTGCCACCAATGTGGACTTTGCCTTCTGGGTGTTTCGGGAGTTCTGCTCCACTGGCTTTGTTGGCTTTTGTTGGCTTGATTGGGCTGATTGGACCGATTGGGTTGCTCGGGTTAGTTGGAGTCCCTAACTGACTGCCATAAACGCTGGCAAAGTGTAAAGCGTGTGACAACCCAATTGACATGCAAATCAGATGTTGTTCTAGCGGCACCCTGCAATTTCGACAACAATTGGATCAACAATTGCCACAGTGGCGCTCTCCTATGACGAAAAGCACCATGAACCACCGATGATATCGTTCGTTACTGCGAAGTTCCGCTGTTCGTTTTAAAGGGTTCGAGTGGATGGCGGGTGTGTGGGTGGCGGGTGGCGGGTGGCGCTTGCTTGTTGTGCTCATGTGAAATCACAATTTTTGTTTTCATCTGATAAGAATTTAATTACAATGCATATACAAATGTATACAAATGTATTAAGCACTCGCGCACACACACACACACACACACACTGATTCTTTGTGTATGTGTGTGTTGGTGTGTTGGTGCCGTGCAAATAAAGCAAGCGAACAAGTCTGCGTGTATCTCTAGGCTATCTTTATTCGCCATAATGACAGTCCCAGTCAGAGTCAGAGCCAGAGCCAGAGTTCCAATCAGAATCAGAGACAGCGCCAAAAATCGAGTCACCAATGCCATCGTCAGAGCCAAAGGCAGAGAACGATAAATGCGCGAATTAAGCGTCGGCCGCACAAAAATGTGCAACAGCAACAATAGTACAACAACGAGCGGGAAATAAAAATACAAAAAAAATATATATATAAAAAACGCCAGTGCAAGAGCCAAGCAACAAGCAAAAACAAAAACAAATATTCAAACAAAAAACCCAAAGCAAAGCCAAAAGTGTGTAATGAAGTGAAGTGAAATGAAATGAAATGAGCGTGGATCGAAACAAAAAGGCGGAAGGAAGCAGGACCAAAAGGAGCAGCTGAAGCAGCGCAACGGTAGTAACAACGGCGTTAAATTGGAAAACGTAGCGGCAAAATTGAAACGCAGCAGAGCAACAGCAGACAGAGAGAGAGAGAGAGAGAGAGTGAGAGAGAGAGAGAGAGGGGCGAGCAGAGATACAGACTCAGCCACCTACCTGGACAGACGAAGGCAGCAGAAGGAGGCGACGGTATTGGGGCTGCAAAATAGGAAGAAGAAACAGCAGAAGCAGCTGAGGAAGAAGAGAAGAGAGGGGCTAGAGGCTAGAGCAAGCTGCCATGTTCATATCTTATTTGAACTGTGACAGCGACAACAACAACAATAACAACAATAGCAACAACAACAACAGTATCAATAATTCGCATGGCAGTCCACAGCTGAGCGTCGGCAGTCGCAGCAGTGCTGGCAGCGGCAGTTTCAGTGGCAGCGAAACTCCACCGCCGCCACTGCGACTGTCAGCGAACAGCAACAGCAACAACAACAATAATAACAACAACAGCAACAGCAACAGCAACAATGGCGGGCTATTATCCATGGAACGTTTGCTGCATGCAGTGCGCGAGGAATTTCAAACGGAAGATGAAAGCGAAGGAGCCACCAGTCGCAGCAGATCCAGCAGTAGAAGCAGCAGCACCAGCAACAACAATAACAACAGCAATGATAACGAGCAACAACTGCTTGCATTTGCTGGCTGCTCTGCCACCAACACTGACATCGCTGCCTGCGCTGCTGCGCCGCCGCCGCTTGCGTTGCGTCGCTTTCGACGCAGCTCGATTGGCATGCAAAGAAAATCGGCGTTTCGTCAAAGGAAACTCGACTCATTGGGCGCCTTTCGCCGCAAGAGGTGAGTGGAGTGTGTGGAGTGAAAAGGGGGTCGGGGGTCGGGGGTCGGGGGTGTGAGTGGCTGTGCTGACACATCCAATGGACAGCAGCAATTAACAATTCCGACAACATTTTTGACTAACATTCAAACACTTTAAGTAGAATGGAAGCTAAAAGCCACTCTTCACCACAAAACAAGCAAAAGTAAAGCTTAGCTTAATATTTGCTACTTTTCCACTATTAATGGATATTAAAAAGTTTTCAAAAATAGTTGTACTATCACGTTTAAAATAATTGCAAATCTTCTCGCATTAATGCAATGGCAATAAGTTTTCGAAATGGCAAAACACTGACACAAGTTAGCAGCACCGCAGGAGAAGCTTATGCCCTTCTTTTAAAAAAAGCTCAGGATGTAATTTCATTTATCAAAAAAATGTCTTCATTAGTCTTATTTCAAAGAAACATATTGTCAAATAGATCAATAGATCTTTAGGCTAAAAGCACTTTCTCTGACATTTAAATGCGATATTTGACTAAATTGGCATCCCAAATTGTGTTTTGAAGCCGGAAACATGGCTAAGTGCGCATGAAATCGAGAATTAATGCCTTTTGACTATCGGGTTCTATAAAAAAAATTCGCTTTAATCGCTTAATGTTTGCTAATTACAGCGTTCATTTGGAGGGGACAGCTAAAGCAGATTAAAATTATTTTCCATACATATCTAAAACTCATTTAACACTAAAAAAAAAACAACGAAAAACACAATCATCCGAGCCATTTCGCTTCACAGTTTCGAAAAGAAACGAACTTGCAGTTTTTGAAAACGTTATTCCGCCGCGAAAATTGTCGGTTTTGCGTATTTGTGAACGCGAATCTATTTTATGGTTCAACTATGGAGTCAATAAACGAAACAAATTCTCCACCAACAAAAGTAGCTCAGTAAGATTAGATTATTATATAAAAATCATTTTTTAAAAAAACCTTAAATGCCATAAGAACTGCGTGAAAGACTTGACTTCGCTTGGAAAGTTTTTCTCACGAAGGAGAACTTGCTGACTTTACTTAACAAGTTATTAAGAAAAAGAGCTATTACGAGGGATTTATCAGTTACTCAGAAATGTAAAGTGAAGACGGTAATTATTTCTATATACTCGTAGGTCGAAGGCTACCAAAAAGACTGCAAGAAATAGTAAATATAATAAAAAAATACAATACAAAATCCAGGATACCATATATGCCTTAAACATTTATTTAGATTCCCTTTCCAAATAATGTTATTATCGTACTTAGAATCGATTTCAATTCTCGTTATTTAATGGGAATTGTCATCAAGAGATTTATCCTCACCTCCATTCTCATGGAGCCGTGTACTTATATTAAAAACTAAAAGTCTTGAGTCTTGTAAATAAAGCTTTAATTAAATTACATTTCTATTAACTTAAAATGTATTTTAAAATCTTTGACTACTTAATTATAATTTAGAAGTGGTTCCGAAGGACTCTGATTGTCAAAGCTATTTCTTTCACTACAAGTAGTTTGGTAAATTCTACTTAGGAAAAGCAGATCATTTTTTCAGATCGCTTTTCAGTGAAAATGAATTTCCTATTGTTATTTAAAAGCTGTTTCAAAATTTCGATTTACTTAGTTTTTCTTGTGAAACATGTGTTTTCCTAAAATGTTTTGTTACTTGTGGTTTTTTTTCATAAAATTAGCTACAAATACTTTCAAATAAGAATAAGTCATCACTAGACTCGTTCTACGCAGTGACGAAGTGTGCTGTAATTTTTCAGAATTTCCATCGTTCTGGCGATTATTTCGTTTGTCGAAAGTTGGCAGCAGATTGGTGGGGGGAATGCGTTCCTGCAGTTTTGCCAATGAATGCACGCGCTGTTGCCATTCCAGGGAGGGGATGGGGGATGGGGGATAGGGGATAATGCCAAGCATGACTGACAGGCAAAAGCAAAGGCAACAAATTTTTGATGCGCTTCAAATGACAGCCACAATCTATCTATCCATCTATTTTCAGTGCCAATCCAGCTGTGTGTGTGTGTACATATATATATATATAAATAGTCTTCTATATATATATTTGTATGTATGTATGTATTTACAAATACACGTATTTATCAATCATTTCGATTATTTAATGCGGCAGTCTTGAGCTCACACTTTTTGCACCTTCTCACCCCCTATCTGTCTCTCTCCCCATCTCTATTTGTAGACGCACGGCCTCATCGAGCAATGCCCGGCGACCGATTCGGATTGTGCCGGACTGGACGGAGAATGCGGTACAGGGGGAGCATTACTGGAAGCCCACATCGGCATCGGGCGATTTGTGCTGTTTGAACGAGGAGTGCATTGTAAGTGCTGCCCCATTTGTGGGCCAACTATCTGGCAAGTACACAAACACAATAATGACAGTGGCCCACGCGACGTATACGCAATATATTTCTGCGTGTGTCTCTGTGCGCCTGTGTGTGTGAGTGTGTGTGAGTGTGAGTGTGCGTGGGTTTGTCGATGTGTGGGTGTATGCTTGCTTGGCTTGAAGTATTTGCCAAATTCAATTAGCTGAGAAAAGAAGCAAACATGTGAAGTTTACATGTGTAATTTATTTATTGCGTGTTCATTCAACATTTTAGAGCTGCACGCACACACGCGCACCTCTCTCTCTCTACACACACAAACACACACACACATACGAGCACATACTGAGGCATGTCAGAGGCATTGAGAGAGAGGTGTCAAAAGTTGCCCGGTTTCTGTCCAAAGTTATAAGTGCCTTGTCACGCGGGCAATGAGCGTGTGTGTCCAAAACTTAAACGTGAGTTACAAATAAGGGACATCCATCGCGCATCCTTCCTTCTTCCCAGCCATTAATTTTGAATCATAACTGGGGGGGGGGGGGGGGGGGGACTCTAGAAATGTCTCCTTGCTTTAGTAGAAGTAATTCTAAGGCCTTCTTAAAACCTCGGCAACCCAATAGGAGCAAATACTTAATAAACTGAAAAGTTTATAACAAATAAGGGACCCCGACCAACCAATAAGTCCATCCAAACCCAAGAGCTGAAGTAGAGGAACATTATCCCTATTTTGAAAATAAGGTGATTGCAAAAAACCAAAGAAAATCGGCAAAAGTAACTGGAGATCAAGAGTGGAGGCTTTTTAGTAACATGCTAGGACGGCTTAAAAAAGATATATTCTTCTTCCAAAAAAACATATCACCCCACATAGTAGTTACTTGAAATAATGGTGGAGTCGACGGCACAGCAGCTAGAGTAATATATTAAATATATTATATACTTGTATGTTAAAGGGGTAGGGTAAAAATTATATATTAGCTTTGTGCAAGGAAGAAGGAAGCATCTGCGACCCCTTAAAGTGCATATATTCTTAATCAGCATGAGGAGAGAAATTGATCTAGACATGCCCGTCCATCTGTCCGTCTGGATGAACACCTGAATTTCGGAAACGACTGAGCACACACTCACCAAACTTGGTGTGTAGACGCTCCTAGTCTCTAGGCAACACGAGTTTATCTTATCTCTTTATTTTCATCCCCAGAATTTCATCACTACTGTCCACACATAAACTACATAAGCTTCATGTAGTAAACCAAACTTTGCATACGTAATCTATATACAATTATCTACTTTTGTTTCATCCAAATCGGTCAAATCTGAGATAAGTTATTAGCGAACTTTATCATCAAGTTAGCTCTTCTTCTTTTTGCTTCTGCTATGGGTGACAGGGTACAGGGTATTTCACTGTCGGGCTTGCTCGACTGTAGCGTTCTCATATATGTATGTGTTTTTTTTTATTCAAAAAAACCTTATGATCCATTTGGTAATCGGAACGTTCGGTAATGTTTTGCAGAAGAGCGGTCAACGCATGAAGTGCTCGGCCTGTCAACTGATTGCACATCAGAATTGCATTCCAATTGTGAATGAAAAGACTCAACTAGCATGTAAGCCAACATATCGGGATGTAGGAATAAGGCAATACCGGGAGCAGACGACAACACATCATCATTGGGTGCATCGCAAGATGGAGAAGGGAAAGTGCAAGCAGTGCGGCAAGGTCGGTTTCAAGACTATACTCGCATATTTACAAATAAGTATTTTATTTGACATTTTAAATAACGATAACTTCCTGCAGGCTGTACAAGGAAAGCTTTTTGGCTCAAAGGAAATTGTCGCATTGTCCTGTGCCTGGTGTCACGAGATCTATCACAACAAGGAGTCGTGCTTCAATCAGGAAAAAATTGGCGAGGAATGCCGACTAGGTAAGTAAATAGAATGTGTATTTTAGAAACTTGAACTGAAAGCTTGGACTCCCATCATCCAATCGTTAATCAGTCGATCCGTAAAGCTATGATCACACTTGCAAATAATTTGCACGCCAATTTGTCTTATTTTCCGAGTAGGCTTTGAAAAATATGCTTGTTGCGAAAAAAAAACCATATTGTAGTGTAGAATCCTATTAGTTCTAATAGAAAAGAATCAAATAGTCGTTCATTTCTAGCCTCAAAAAGCTACATTTAAACGTACAATTCCTATTAATTCTAATAGAAAAGAATCAAATAGTCCTTCACTTCCAGCTTCGAAAATGATCCTATAGAGTGATTTTTTTAAATTGAGGTTTTTCCCAAACGAAAATTATGTTCGTTAATGCACAAAAGTGTAACCAACTTTAGTTCCTTGATGATAGCTCTAAATGCTTAGACAACTTGGCTGGATAGATACTGACTTCAAGCTTTGATTGATTCCTAAACAGACTGATTCCTTGGCTCTAATATCATTATTTATTCCGATTTAAAATATTGCAAAACTTAAGCTTAGTCGGTCAGATTTAGATTAGATTCATTTCTAGAAATGTTACATGAATGCCAGGCTAGTGGTCCATTGATTTGATTTTCGTTCATAATTCGGGTTCTTCCAAAAATTAATAACTAAAACCTAGAGGTGTTGCAGGAAGTCGAAAGTAACACCAGTTCTCGTATTTATACTTGTATGTTGCTGTTCAAAGCCTCGTTTTTGTATCGATCGACATGCCTTAAAGCTTAGTTTTGCGATGAACTTTTTTCCATAAAAAAAATTGAGCTCTGTCCAGAAATGTCTTAAATAGGACTTTACACAGAGCTAGTACTTTCAGGCATTAGGTTCATTTGCAGAAATGGATGCCAGGTTTAGTGGTTCCTTGATTTGGTTCTGCTGATACGAAAATGTTCGTTCATAGTTCGAGTTCTTCCAAAAGCCACTTTAACAAGATCTACTTGTAGATGTGTTGTTGTTGTTAAAATAAAAACACCAAAAATTTAGCTCACCAGCCAGTCATTTAGTCTGTTAGGTTTTAGGCAAAATGTTTTCCTTGCTAGGATTTGACACAGTGCGCGAATTTTCGTACAAGTCTAGAGATTCAGGCTTCAGAGCCTTGGACCTTGCTGCTACCCTATCTTTTCTCTATTAAAAGTCCCTTTGACAAAAGAAAACAAGAAAGGAATGCTAAAGTCGAGCAGGCTCAACTCTTAAATACCCTGTACCACCCCACAAAAAAGTAATTAAATTAATTTAATTAAATTAATTAATTAATTTAATTAAATTAATTAATTTAATTAATTAATTTAATTAATTAACTAAATTAATTTAATTAATTAACTAAATTAATTTAATTAATTAACTAAATATTCCATGCATGCATAGATACATTTACATTTACATCAGAATCGTGCCTTATGCGTGTTTGTGTACTTGTACATATGTATGTATGTGTGCATTGGGTTATATGGCTATAACTTTCTTTCCGATCATTCTATCATAATGAAACTTGGTATACGGATATACAATTACTAACTGGATGTGTCTACCAAATTTTAGTTCAAAATTCCAAGAATTACGGGAGTTATAGAAAATCGTTAATAGAGGGGAGTGGGGGGGGGTGGATCAGAAAAAATGAACAAACTCGTCCTTTCTCGGTCTCAGGAGAATCTGTATACCAAGTTTGGTTATTCTAGCTCTTATACTTTCGGAGATCCTTGCGTTCATACAGACAGACAGACAGACAGACAGACGGACAGACGGACAGACGGACAGACGGACAGACGGACATGGCTATATCGACTCGGCTTGTCATGCTGATCAAGAATATATATACTTTGTGGGGTCTACCAAGCCTCCTTCTGTGTGTTCCATGTGCACTCGCACAAAACTAATATACCCTTGTACCCTTTGGGTACAGGGTATAAAAAGTGAAACTGTTCGCCTTTTAGTCACATTCTCCGTTAATCTTGTGTGGTTTTAAAAAATAAAATAAAAAGCGCAGAATATGGCTTTGCCTTTGGCCTACACTCTGCTTCTCTCATACGCTCCTTCCCGCTATTGTGTCGCTCCTCGGACACACACACACTCACACACACACACACATTCGCTCACTCACTCACTCACTCACTCACGTGCCTTATCTTGGCTGCACACGCCCAGCGTGCTGGCCCGACGCGTCGGTCGCGCCATTGTCCTTTGATTAATTATGTGACGCGCATGCAAATAAATTGCGGTCCGTTAACTTAATTAAAATTTGTGTGTTAAAAGAGCCGCAAGTTGCCACGAATTGTGGCACAGTTGGAAGTGCAGAAGCACACGCTCCTCTTTCTTTTTTGTTTTTCTGTTTGTTTGTATTTTAATCCTTTTTGCTTGTCCGCTCAGTCGGCTGGTTCGCCAGCTGTCATAGTTCATTGCATAGTTTCGGGGCGCAAAGACTGTGACACCCACCAGCCCCCCCCCCCCCCCCCCCCCCCCCCCCGCCTCTATCGGAGGCACCCTTTCAATTGTTCTCAAATTGTTACCTTTCGTTCGCTTGTACTCTTTACTTTTGTCTTTCTATTGTCTGGCGCTGTTGCTTCACAGATTGAAAGCCCACTGGAATGTATTTCGTGGAAATTAAAATTTTGTCCCACTAAGTCAATATACTTGTATATTTATTGTGCGTGTGCCTATGTGGGTGGGTGTGTGTGTGTGTGTGTGTGTGTGTGTTGCAAGCTTTGCTTGAGTTTTTCTTTGCATTGTTTTGCGACATCACAGCGGGCGCTCAGTTGACTTTTGTGTAATTGAGTTTTCTTCCTGCCAGTCTATTTTCCACTCCTGATGAACTGTCGTTGCCATTCATTGAGCTTCTTGTTAACACTCTCGAAAGTGGCAGCCGCCGCGTCCTGGCACCAGTGACCAACGAGACAATGTCAAGGCAATACAATGAAGCTCCAAATACAATTACAGTCGACACTAATTCCCTCTCTCTCTCTCGCTTTCTCTGCCTCTGCCTGGACAGCTGGCTTTTGAGCTAGGCATATCTCTTTCTCTTTCACTGTTGGAAAAATTCATCAAGTTTTGCGGACCCCTACTTGGCATTTGTTCGCAACCCTCTCCTGCAATTGCGAAAGTTATTGCTGCTGTCGTTGTCGCTTTAAACAGTCAAAAATTAAATTTCTGTCGTCGCCGCAACACCAAAATAACTCAATTAGCAGCAACGCCATCGCCGCCATCCATCGTCCGACTCGCATATATTTGTGTAATCAAATGCAGGAGCTGCAGAAACATCGACAGGAGCAGCAACGGCACGCAGCCAACATTGCCAACCATTTAACAGCCTTAATTAGCAACCAACACCCTCCCAGGGCCAACAGAGACGCTCGCAGCTCAACACACACACACACACACACACACACACGCACACACACACACACACACGTACACAGTTGTTGTTGACGTTGTTGATGCACGCCGCTGCGGGAGCGCCGAGCCATACACTGACAGAAAACGAATGTAATCCGAAATAAGCAAATAAGCCAGTAGCGCAGAGGGAAGCGGAGAGAAAGCACAATACAGTCCATACAGGCTAGTGACGAAATCACACTTCAGATTCTACTCTTGCAAAAAAGCGAAATGGCGAACCCTTCTTTTTTAGCTCAATGCTCATAACAGTTCGTCTATAAGTCCGCCGCCTTTAAGTGGTTCTACAAGTATATCTATATCCGCACTCCATTTCCAAGTTGGCCGTGAACTAAGGCCTCCCCCACAACCAAGAAGTTGCTAAGCCAGTAGCGAAGAGGAAAGAGAAAACATTTCGATACTTGTAGAAAAATGGGAAAGAAACTCAAAACAGTTATTCTATAAGTCTGGCGCCTTAAAGTGGTTCTACTTGTATATCAGCAAAACCTATTCCTAAAACCCTGTTGTTCGTCACCGTGTTTCGTCACTCCATTTCGGACTATGCAGAACGACCTTTCCCAGAACCAAGACGTGGAAAAGATGCAGCGAAAATAAATAAACGAATCAAGAATTTACACCGAAAAGGTTATCTTTTGGAACTTAGGTCTGATTGAATGGTTCGATATATAATATTTCCCTTTAAAGGTCTTCAAAGTAATTGGGACTTCAAAAAGCTTCCTTTGATTAGAGAGTCTGGGCAGGACTGCTTCTACAGCATGTCCACAATATCCGTTTTGCAGCAGTTACACCGAAAAGGTAACCTTCTGGAGCTTAGACCTGATTAATACTGATACTCACTATATCTAAAAAAGCCAAAAAAAAAAAATGGGTTTAATGGTTCGATATATAATTTATGTATTTATTTATTTTAATATTTCCCCTAAAATATTTTCGAAGCAATTGGGACTTCAATAAGCTTCCTTTGATTAGAGAGTCTGGGCAGGACTGCTTCTACAGCATGTCCCCAATATCCGTTTTGCAGCAGTTACACCGAAAAGGTAACCTTCTGGAGCTTAGACCTGATTGATACTGATACAATAACTAAAACAAGATAGAACGCTACAGTCGAGCAAGCCCGACAGTAAAATAGCCTGTACTCTCCACAAAAAAAGAAAAATTAAAAAAATTTAAAAAAAAATTAAATTAATTTATTAAATTAATTAAGACAAGAAAGGAATGCTAAAGTCGAGCAGGCTCAACTCTTAAATACCCTGTACCACCCCACAAAAAAGTAATTAAATTAATTAATTAATTTAATTAAATTAATTAACTAAATTAATTAATTAAATTAAATTAATTAACTAAATTAATTTAATTAATTAACTAAATATTAACTAATTAAATATAAAATATTCCATGCATGCATACATACATTTACAATTACATCAGAATCGTGTCTATGCGTGTTTGTGTACTTGTACATATGTATGTATGTGTGCATTGAGCCTGGTTATATGGCTATAACTTTTTTTCCGATCATTCTATCATAATGAGACTTGGTATACGGTTATATAATTACTAACCTAATGTGACAACCAAATTTTAGTTAAAAATTCCAAGAATTACGGGAGTTATAGAAAATCGTTAATAGGGGGGGAGTGGGGGGGTGGATCAAAAAAAATGAACAAACTCGTCCTTTCTCGGTCTCAGGAGAATCTGTATACCAAGTTTGGTTATTCTAGCTCTTATACTTTCGGAGATCCTTGCGTTCATACAGACAGACAGACGGACAGACGGTCAGACGGACAGACGGACAGACGGACAGACAGACGGACAGACGGACAGACGGACAGACGGACATGGCTATATCGACTCGGCTTGTCATGCTGATCAAGAATATATATACTTTGTGGGGTCTACCAAGCCTCCTTCTGTGTGTTCCATGTGCACTCGCACTAAACTAATATACCCTTGTACCCTTTAGGTACAGGGTATAAAAAATGGGTTAAATGGTTCGATATGCTCGTATGTGCCTTGGAAGATTGTCAAAGCCGGCTCATGTGTACGTACTGCCCCTAGCTAGACCTATTTAGCACTGCAATTGAGGCTTCATTTAAATAGAGAGTCTGGGAAGGACTGCTTTTTTTGCAGGGGCTACTCAAATAGATGGTCTGGGAAGGAGGGTTAAATTTCTTTTTACTGAGTTGTGACTTCCTTTTTTCGCACTGCATGATATTTTATTTGCGTTTTATGTCCGCTAAATTGAGTTAAAGATTGGTGCAACACTTTTACTCGCATAATGCATTAATTTGGTTTCGAATTAACTCGCTGACGCTTTAATCTGTTTATCTTGGAAAAACGTGTATTTTGGGCTTTCCACGGTCAGTGGTTAATCTGCTTAATTGGTGAGCAAATTCAATTCAAAAACTGTTTACAATTCAATTATATAAATTTCATTATTTTCGTATTCTTCTTCATGTCTGTATGTGCTGTATTGCAGATATATCATGCGGAAAAGAGTGATATTTCGATATCTCGGAAATATGAATCTGAGAATATTTAATTTGCTTAAGCTTCGCTTCGGGTTTGTTTTAATATTTCTAGTGTGTAATAAAAAAAACAGGGGGATACGCAACACAATAGCCGCGTCCACTACATCTTTTTGTAATTAAATTCCTAGTCACTCTTTCAAAATTATCGATCACAAATACCGCTACCAGGCAGCTAGCAAATAAGTAGATTTCAAGTAAGAGTAGATTTCTAATCCAAACCCTTTACTTTTTGTTGAAATTGAAAATTGTGTTTAACCTTTGCACTATTATAGCGAATTCCCTATTCAAATAATATTTCGTCACTATGCAATCACTGTTTGCTCCACTACGGCGCCCAACGCGGGGCCCAGCTCGCGCTCAAAATTTAGCGTCTTGCCTGTCACTGGCAGGGCGCGCATCGAGTGGTGATTGCTGTGACTGTCATCGATGCGCCACTCGCTAGCAGCAACTTCCTTTGTTGCTGGTTCGACTAAGCCCGAATTCAGTTCAGCGAACCGTAAACGGTGCATTGGTTTATTTGTATGTGTGTGAGTCTGTGTCTACTCGATGGATGCCTGTTGGGAGGAGCAAACAAAAGACAACATGAAAGCAATTTACATTCTCAGACTGTTTTGCAGGCAACTATGCGCCCATCATCGTGCCACCATCATGGATTGTGAAGCTGCCAAACAAGGGAAACTTTAAGTCGTCGATTCGTGTGAGCAACAAGAGTGGTGCGGCCGCGGCTGGTGGTGGTGGTGGTGGGGCCACTAAGGGCAATAAAAAGCAAACCCAGAAGCGCAACAAAGGCAAGGACGAAAAGAAGGAGCCGCGTGCGTTTATTGTGAAGCCCATTCCCTCGCCCGAGGTAATACCTGTCATAGTGTTTATCAATCCAAAGTCGGGTGGCAATCAAGGCGTCAAGTTGCTGGGCAAGTTCCAGCACCTACTCAATCCACGGCAGGTGTTTGATTTGACACAGGGCGGACCCAAAATGGGGTAAGCACGAGATTGATTTCTCATCTCGTCCTATCTCAGTCAATATTTAACTCTTCCTTTTCAGACTCGACATGTTTCGTAAGGCTCCCAATTTGCGTATTCTGGCCTGCGGTGGTGACGGCACCGTCGGCTGGGTCTTATCCGTGCTCGATCAAATACATCCGCCGCTGCAGCCGGTTCCAGCTGTAGGTGTTCTACCTCTAGGCACAGGCAACGATTTGGCACGCGCCCTAGGCTGGGGTGGAGTAAGTATTTGGAGTTGCACAGTCTAAGAAGAGAGCATTACCCTTTCTTCCTTCACTAGGGCTACACCGATGAACCGATTGGAAAAATCTTGCGTGAGATCGGCATGTCGCAGTCCGTGCTTATGGATCGCTGGAGTGTTAATGTAACGCCTAATGACGACGTCACTGACGATCATGTCGATCGGAGCAAGCCCAATGTGCCGCTCAACGTAATGAACAATTACTTCTCGTTTGGCGTTGACGCGCACATTGCTTTGGAATTTCACGAGGCGCGTGAGGCGCATCCGGAGCGCTTCAATTCGCGTCTCCGCAACAAGATGTATTACGGCCAAATGGGCGGCAAGGATCTCATATTGCGCCAATATCGAAATCTCTCTCAATGGGTGACTCTCGAGTGCGATGGCCAGGACTTCACGGGCAAGCTGCGCGATGCCGGCTGCCATGCCGTCCTCTTTCTCAACATACCCAGGTATTAAGGCAGCCGACTCAACGCTTCCAGTCAGTGCTAATTAACTTAATTCTCCCTTTCTCTCAATCTTTTCTCTGCCCTCCTTGCTGCAGCTATGGCGGCGGCACTCACCCCTGGAACGATTCCTTCGGGAACGCGAAGCCGTCCATAGAAGATGGCATGATGGAGGTAGTCGGTCTTACCACCTACCAGCTGCCGATGCTGCAGGCGGGCATGCACGGCACCTGCATCTGCCAGTGCCGGAAGGCGCGCATTATCACCAAACGCACCATTCCCATGCAGGTGGATGGCGAGGCGTGTCGCGTCAAGCCATCCATTATCGATATAGAACTTCTTAACAAGGCACTAATGCTCTCCAAACGCAAGCACGGACGCGGCGATGTACAGTGAGTAGCAAACGAATTAATACCCTACCCTGACCTCTCCCATCAAATCATTTACAATAGAAACGAATATTCTCCTGACAATTCGGCTTGACATAAAGAATAACTAGAAAACTGCTTAAAATTATCTGAAACGAATATATGTCTATTGTCGGAATCATCGTTATTGTCTGAAATTTAATACGCACAGACTTAGTCACAGTTACAAGATAGATAAAACAAATACTATATACTAATAAACGTGTAGACCTGCCTTTCGTTTCCAACTCATCAAATAATGGGGAATCTTAATTACTTTTCCCGGAGCTAGAGCTATCTTCCCAATAACATTCCCTAACAATATATTTCCAAGTCAGTATATCATTTAATTCACAAATAGTTGGATTAAGTTTATTTGTAAAATTAAAAATCATTAGCTTTAATTTTTGGAGCTTTTTCTTGGCTGCACAATAATTGTTTTATTTCGTGAAATTGTAGATTAGGGTAGCCTTTCTTTTGGATTTGTAAAAATCACAGCCAGCAGTGATTAAATCACCATTTGCATACAACAACAAAACACATATTCGCGTCTAAATCAGAACGCACTCAGGTCTCTAGACTCTCCCTCTCCCTTTCTCTCTCTGGACTGTCCTCAATTGCTAGCCAGCCAAGTGGCGTAATTTGTATTTTATTGTTCGGAACCACACACACACACACACACCCATTCCCATTCCCATTCCCATTTACATCCACATTACCAGACAGCCATTCCCACATTATGAGATTGCATTTCTTTGGCGCCTCGCATATATTTTTATGGTGAGGAACACGCGAACGTGCGTGTGAAGCGCAACGAATGCGTGTCCTGCCACTCAAAACTGCATTCCCTCACTCACTCATATACTCTCTCTATCTCTCTCTCTCTCTCCCTCCCTCCCTCCCTCTCTCAGAGTAAATCCGCTGGAGAAAATGCAATTGAATATACTGCGGGTAACCATGCAACAATATGAACAATACCATTATGACAAGGACATGCTGCGCAAGCTGGCCAACAAGCTGGGCAACATTGAACTCGAATCTCAGTGCGATTTGGAGCACGTGCGCAACCTACTCAATACTAAGTTCGAGGAGTCCATATCCTATCCGAAGGTCTCGCAGGATTGGTGTTTCATAGACTGTAAGTACTGCACCGTAAATAAGTCGTAGCACTCGTCTTTCATTCGTAATCGAGCAAATGAATCATAATATGAATCTAGTTCAAATCTTTTGAATGGATTCAGTAGCTAACTTAATTAGGCAATTGGTCAATGAGCAGTTTAAGGAATTACAATAGACATACAAAATATATAACTCGAAACACTCATCTGCAAAGCTTTGGATGTAACGGGCAGAAGGAGGCTTCGCAGATTCCATGTTAAGACGAACTTAATCAAAGCTTCATCGAGCAAATGAATCATAATATGAATCTAGTTCAAATCTTTTCAATGGATTCAATAGGTAATTAGTCAGTGAGCAGCTTGAACAATTACAAAATATGTAACTCGAAACACTCATCTCCAAGTTTTCATGTTATGACGAAATTAATCAAAGTTTAATTGAGCAAATGAATCATAATATGAATCTAGTTCAAATCTTTTGAATGCATTTACTAGTTTTACTTAATTAGGCAATTAGTCGGTGAGCAGCTTGAACAATTACAATAGTCAAACATTCAGCCCCCTGTTCGACTGTATGAACTTCAAGAATTAAACCTTAGAGCATAAATAAAAATTTGAAATTCATTAATTTCTCATTTTGTTTAATGCTTCATAATATTCTAAAGTTTCAGGAACATTAGTGCACTATATCGCATAGCTACCAAATAAACTATTGGTACTAAGATGGATTCTTAGTTATCTTATTTGTTTATTACGAATGGTCGCCCTAACTGGTATTCAAAAGTCTTTTATAGTGTCTCCGCAAAGTCCAAACATTGATTACAATCGATGAACTATATCATATAGCCGACATGGGAATGATCGACGCAGAAATCACTCTTAGTACTAAAAATGTATTCTTTATTACGGTACCTTAACCAAATTTAATTATTTTGCCGTTAAACTGAAGTATAGTTAGTTGTGACCTCAGACTTGTCCTTAGACTTGATCAAATAACTGAACTGGGTTCTTTTAAGAACTAAACTAATCAAGGCTTAAAGTAAGTAAAAAGAACGTGGAAGAAAATATAAGTGGACCGAAAGAGGGTTACGCAAGCTGTCAGACATTATAAGATATTGGGAATCCACGCACAACGCTTGCTAATCTATGGTTTGACTCTTGAGTCCAATATGGAAGTCTATAATTTTTGTATTTAGGGTTTATTCATATTTTCAATGGTGGATACTTTGATAGAATTTTGGTATTGTCTTCAGAAATAGTTGCTGCTCAGATGAATAATGTGATTATGAATTGGTATTCTTTACAGCCTGCACTGCTGAGCATTATTTCCGCATCGATCGGGCCCAAGAGCATTTGCATTATATCTGCGACATTGCGATCGATGAGCTATACATATTGGATCATGAGGCGGCAACAATGCCACAAACACCGGATCAGGAGCGCTCCTTTGCCGCCTTCTCGCAGCGACAGGCGCAGAACGAGCGCCGCCAGCTGGACCAGTCCGGCCGCGGCACCGGCAGCACGGGTATGCTTGCTAGATGGCGAATGCGATTGACCCAAAAGAGGGCCACAGAGCCGCTGCCGTTGCAGCAGCAGCTGCACATTTATCAGCAGCAAGTGGCGCAACAATTGCCGTATCTAGATAGGCGCATGTTCTGTCACCTCCACTTCCGTAAAAAGCGGATCGAGCTTTAAGGCGTCAGCTTTAAGTCTCGGGTCTTTAACGGTGGCCGGGGGCCGGTGTTGTGCTTTTGTTTCTCTCTCTCAATCTCTCTCTCTCTCTCTTTGTATAACTCTTGTGTTTGTTTTTTGATGCATGCCTATATAGTTACTAACACACACACACACACACACATACACACTTACACAAACACATGCATAATAGGCAACTGATTTATATTATAATTTATAAACAATCGCGTCTCATATTGAGACCACAAGCCAAACCGTAACCGTAACCGAATACAGCTTAGTCCTTGCCACGTCCGCATGTAAGTAGTGCATTAAATATTTCTATTTGGTATATAATCCAGCTTACATTAACATCACAACAGTTAACAGCAAAGACTAAACCGTATTCCGTTCACAAATGACAAAACTAAATTCCCACCCAACCAACCAACCAAACAACCAAAGAACCAACCAATCAATCAGACAACCAACCAACCCACAAACTATATATGTATATATATGTATAAGTATGTCAAGTTTTAGTGACGGGTAGGTTTCAATTTCCACAACGTCCGTAGTTTTTATAATTCTTGTTGTTCTTCTTCTTCTTTTTGTATTTCTTATAACTTGTTCTATTTAGTTTTTCCAGTTGTTTATTGCCGAAATCTGTTGTACACGACGTACTAACATTTATTGTAAATTTCTTTTCACACAACCACGCACACACTCACACACTTAAACACACACTCACACACTTACACACACACACACACGAAATTTCACAACCAAAGATGATGATTTGCAAATCGGCTCGAAGCCCATTAAAGTGATGAAGTGGAAGAGGTAAAAAGCTAAAGCCATCAAATCTCGATTTTCAAAAAAGCTCGTTCATGTATCCATTTGTCAATCAAATCAAATCAAATCGAATCGAAAATCGAACCCATCCATAACTATTAACCCTCATGCGAAGCAACAATTTTTTTTGCGCACAAAAAGTGCAGCATACATTTGTGCGCCCCGAACTCTGCAGCCATTGAAGCCAGCACAGCAAGTTCTTTAAATAAGCTCTCCCACCGTCACACACCAGTGTTGGAAAATTAATAATTATTTACTCATCATTTTTATTTTTTTGTATTTATTTATGATGTTAGAAAATTTATTTATTCATAATAATTTTCTATTTATTTTTTATATATATATATATATATATATTTTTTTTATTATTATTTATTATGTTAAAAACCGTATTATTCTTCATTCATAATAATTCCCTATTTAATTTTATTTTTGGTTTTATTTAATTTTTTTAATATTTAATATATATTTAATATATTTTTTATTCTTTTTATTTTAATCTGTTGCGATATGCGATTTATATGGAAAAAAAAGGTTCCAAAATATTTGCCTCCATTGCACATCTGCAGTGCGGCCGGCCTTCTGTCGTTTCCTCTCGTCTTCACTCTTCCCTTCTCTACCAATTGGCTGAAATGCTTCTCACGCTTCCTTGATATTCAAAAATTCAATATGGCTTCACTTTTTTGCTTTTTTGCTGACTCCCCCTCTCTCTCTCTCTGTTTTTTTTACTCACTCACTCATCATCTTACTCTCTAAACTTAACTCACTCGCTCTCACTCTCACGCTCTTTCTGCTTTCTGTTTTTTCCTTTCTTACTTTATTTTCCGTTAATCGTTTGTTGTTCAATGCATGCAGCAACAAAGATCGTTTATTCAGTTTCAACGAAGATGTTTTTGGTTATGGATTCAGGTACTCTGTGTATACTCCTCTCTCCCTCTCTCTCTCTCTCTCTCTCCCCCCACCCCCCACTTTCTCGCTATCTCGCTCGCTCTCTACATCGAAGACCCGACTCCCATTTGTGAATGTGTCTCTCCAATCGTATTCCATGCCAACAACCCTCTCTCTCTCTCTACTCTCCTTCTATGTTGTATCAAAGACTCGATTTATATGTACAAATTCTCAACTGATGCTTTAACGTTTTCTTTTCATTTTTTTCTACTTTCTATGCACACACCCACACATACGAACATCTCGAACATGAATGCACACACACACACACACACCGACTCAAAAATATGAACATATGCAATAAATAAATCCAACAATACAAAACAACAGCCCTATACTGGAGCAAACTTCCGATGCCATACTACTAGCGGCCCAGAGCGGCGATCTAAATATGGTAGTTTATCTTTAGATACCTATGTAGATATATATAGCACATACATACATATGTACATGCATACTTTAGTGTATGTATTTATGATTAGAGTAAGCCTTATTAGGCTGTAATATTCCCCGGCCAGATAGTCCAGATAGTTAACACCCTTACAATTCGGCAAGCAATAATTGGTTATCTGCCATTTCACTCTTCCAGTTACGTGCTCTACATGAACAAGGATACTCATTACAATCAGTGAACAAGAACGGACAGACGGCACTGCATTTCGCTTGCAAATATAATCATAAGGACATCGTCAAATACATCATCTCGTGTGCCACACGTCGCGTCATCAATATGCCAGACAAAGAGGGGTAAGGAAAAGTCAATATATTTCTTAGACAAACGCTCTTAATATTTTTCTTTTAAATATAATCTGATTCAGATTACATTGAAACTAAGTTTAGTCTAAGGTCAGACATACACACAAACTCCTTCTATTCAACAAGAGGTTTGATTATAATTTGCTTGAGAAAAATTGTCCTGCGGTCAGAACAAGAATTTTTTATAGCAGAAACCCATACTTGGGTAAATTTCTTTATTTAACATGAAGGACGAATGTAATAACCATGCGTCAAATTATTTGTCTGTCTGACCATAGCCATATTAGTTATCAGAGCCTTTATATGGAAATCAAATGAAAAGAGATTTTGTTATAATCTGATTGAAGAAAGGCAGAAACATATATTTTTAAGAATTAGAATAGCTTTAGCAGATAGCCTTCATATGGAAATGGAATATTAAAGCTTTAAAGATGATACATAAATGAAAATTTTGAACTTAGTTTAAAGCTTTAGTCAAACAGGCAAAGAATTTGCACACAAACTCCTCCAGAAACCCATGTTTAGGATTAATAATAACAAGAGAGAACGCTACAGTCGAGCAAGCCCGACAGTGTAATACCCTGTACCCAGGTAAACTTCCGTCACTGAGTTATATGCGCCCATAGCAGCAGCATGAAGAGGAAGAAGAAGAGCGAACTTGTTGCTGCAGTTTGGGGGGGTTGTACTGGTGAGAATTTGTTTTGCTAATAACTTTTCTTAGAATTGACCGAATTTGATAAAATTAAATAAACAACAGTAGATAATTGTATAGAAATTATGTGTGCAAAGTTTGGTTTAGGTAGCATTTGAAATGTGGACGCTATTGACGAAATTCTGTAGCGGGGGAAGGGGGGGGAAATTAAAAAAAAAAAAATAAACTCGTCCTTACTCGGACCTAGGAGAATCTGGATGCCAACTTTGGTTATTCTAGCTTTTATAGTTTCCGAGATCCTTGCGTTCATCCAGACGGACGGACAGACGGACGGACAGACGGACGGACAGACGGACGGACAGACGGACGGACATGTCTAGATCGATTTCTCTCGTCATGCTGATCAAGAATATATATACTTTATGGGGTCGGAGATGCTTCCTTCTGTATGTTACATACTTTGCACAAACCTAATATACCCTTTTTACCCTACGGGTACAGGGTATAAAAATGTATTTTATGTACAAGGTATTTAAACAATTTGCGTGCAAATTATTTGTCTGTCTGAGCGCGCTTTGATAATTATTCATAAGTCCAAATAGCAAATCGAGCCAAATAGTATAAAGAGAAAGGATATTCTCATTCACTCTTCTGAAACAATTAATACTAATGTTCTTTTCCCTCTCTCTTTCCCCTCTCTTTCCCTCTCTGTCTCTCTCTCTCTCTCTCTCTCGCGTCTAGTGGCCAGACGGCTTTGCACATTGCTGCGGAGCAGAATCGCCGCGATATTTGCGTCATGTTGGTGGCTGCTGGCGCCAATCTTCAGGCTCGGGATGTGTGCGGCAACACCGCCATGATGGTGGCATTCAACAAGAACGCCAACGAGATCGCAACCTATTTGGAAAGTAAGCAACAAGGCGGCTGGGCCGTGGACATCACAACAAACTCATCGCCACCGCCACCGCCACCCCCACGAACACCCATGTAAAAAGCTAAAGAAAACATCTCCAAGGCAAAAAAAAAAAAGAAAAAAAATTAAACCACACACCCACACCCCAGTAGAGTTATTTGCAAGCAGAAGAAAGAATGAATTATTAATGTCCGATTTCTTTTCTCGCTGCTCTCCAATGGAAATTGAATCAAAAAATATATAAATATTTACCATACATTCCAAATACTATATAATTGTAAACGAAACTGATTGAAACAAATCTCAACCAAAGGTCAAGAGCGTTTCATGCATTTGGAGGTGCAAACCAGAAATTAGAAGGCAGCACGTCAGCCCAAAGCAAAACCGCCCTACACTAGTTTTAAGTGCAAACTAACTAACTAAACGAAAACAAACAAATAAATAAATGAATAAACCCCATACAAGAATATGAGACGGGAAGCGAGACGATGCGATACGAAGCGAAGCGAAGCGATGAGAGATCGAAGGAAGAGTATGTGCAGAGTGTGTGCAGAAAGTGCTGAAAACGATAGTCAAGTAAAACTAAATAATAGTAGAAACCGCAGCAGGTCAAGTCAAGTCAGGTAGAGGAGGTAGGAAGTGAAAGCTACATATTTTTTTTATCACTCAAATATATATATTATTAGTGTCGTGAATATATGAAATATTTCAAATTATTTACCCTTAGCTTAAGCAACAGAAACGAGAAATCTCACAACAAAACAACAATTTGCAGCACAGCTCCTGAAAGCTGAAGAAGCAATTTATTTAAAATTTTATTAAACGCAAATAATGCAAAAATAAAATATGCAGTACAACAATTAATCAAATGCAATTTTCCCCCTTCACACACACACACACACACACACTTTGAGGTTAGAAGAAATAAATGGAATTCGTTTTGAAGTTTATGACATTTTCGACTTTTTTGACTTTTTTTCGGCAAACAAAATTGAAATTGTAAACAAAATAATTATATTGTGATATCTAAATTTAATTGAATTATCAAACACTATTAATTACTACCAACTACTACTACTAACTAAAGGCAAGGAAGCAAACAAACTAACTAACTAGCGTGGCACCCCACGGAACTTACAATTGATATTATCTCTGAGCTGAGCTAGAAAGTATGTAAATAATTGAGAATACAGAGCTATATTATCACGCAGCTATATATTTGATATCCAAATATCCATAATAATAATCACTCGTTGTTGGTTTTTTTTTTTTTTTTTTTTTTTTTTTTGAATACAGTTAGCTTTAAGAGAACGTAACGAAACTATGGCCAAGTAAAGCCCATACAATATTCAATATTCACACACACACACCCACACACACACACACATAATTATGATATTAACCCTTCCTACTGAGACCGCCCGAACCTAACGAGTTTCAACTGCAATGAGCAGCCCCGACTTAACCTCAAACTAACCACATTGTGGGTATATATTTATAGTAAATCAGTCGTTTCATACGTTGTTTCTATATACTAGCTGCAGCCATGAAACGAAATGGCATGAAACAGAACTCTACACATACGAGTAGAAGTCCAGTTGGCAGCACTGTGCAACGAAATGGCTTCAAACATGGCACTAACTTGTCAGCACTTTTCGCCCCACCCCCTCTGCCCAAACGAAAAGCACCAAAAACAATACTAAAGACTATCTATCGACTTTGAAACACAACAACAACAACAAAAACAACAAAACAAATACAGCAGAACAACAGAATTACAAACTAAGCTTAAAATATACGATTATACACATATGCATATAAATTTAATCAAACTTAAAATATATACTAAACAATACTTATATGTAATTGTAATTTTTTTTTGTGTGATTAGAACAGATCTTAAGATAATAATTGTAAAACCGCGCTAAAGTCAATTACGTTTCGAAAATGTTTGCTTAGAAGCAAAGAAATCTCATTGCACCTATTTCTAAAGCAACGCGTAATCCACTAGAGTGCATAATTAGCCGCTAAGTACCATATTTATATATTATAGACGTATTACATATGGAGAAACAGAAAACTTTGTTGTCGCCCCCAAATTTCTTTCCCGCAAAAAAAATATATAAACTCTTCACGTCTGTACGTCAATGGCTCTGGCGTATCGAGAACAGGCGAGGGCTGAGCAGCGGGAATAGCAGACCACAAAGTTTTTTCGTTTTCCAATACAGTTAAGCAAATTGGTAATTATGTTTTGGATTCTTGCATGACACACACATACATGTACACACACACACACACACACACACACACACACACATACAAACACACATTTGATTATATAGTATATAACACGATTTCCAAACAAAATGATTTGGGGCAACTTTTCGGCGCCGCAGCAAACTGCCCCAAGTCGAACGTCAAAAGTAGCTTCAAATTGTGGCAAAGAAATCGTAATAAGAGATATCGGAGAGCTAAACTAAAAACTACAAAAAATATACCACACTCTATATACTATAGATACATACTATTTATACATGTATAGCAAATGACAATCTAGACAATTTGGCATAAGACGAAACAAAAAGAAAAACAAAAACAAACAACCCTAAGTGAAAACCTAACATTTGCTAAATCGCTGAAAACGCCGCAGCTGCTGTCAGACACGCAAATAGTTTGCTGGCAAATTCAGCATTCTCTTTTCAAATTATGCATTTGAGTGCAAACTGTTTGCCTGTCTGACCAAACCGAGGCAAACTTCTCCTCCGCACTCTATACACACTCCCTTATGCTGGCAACTTGAAATTGTAGTTTGTGCAACATGAAAGCTATATATGTACCAATATATAGATATCTATATATATACTATATACTATATGGAGTGCGCGGATGCAAACCAGAATTAGAATATATGCTAAAGAAAACGAATGCAAAGCAAGGCAAATGCAAGGCAAATGCAGTGGAGAAATGAAATGAGTAAACCTTATAGAGACTAGAATCTGAGCGATTCTAGTGTTATGCATATACATATGTATGTTAAAAGTTTGTTACTTTCACCTGTTCGGAGAACAACCGGGTCCAAGCCAAACTGAGGAATATTTTTGTGCATTTTGTGTAAATATTGTATCGTAGAAACGGATAGGAATGAACAAAAGCAACAAACTGAAACAACATAAATGCCTAGACTTTTTTGTAGCTGTACATACAAACACACCCACACAGAAACACAAGCACACCCATACACACATACAGATACATGTAAAAACAATGAAAGGAGAACTCGAATTCACAAACCCAAGAAAGCAGACAAACAGGCAAATTATTTGCACACAAACTTCAGCCACTTCAACAAACCAGCTCTGAAAAGTGCTTATCGAGAAGTGTTATTGAAATTTGTGCGCAAATACATAGTTTGCTAATGGGAACAGCAAATTATTTTCACACACATCAGTTCGCAAAGTGCTGAAATCGAAATTTGTGCGCAAATAGTTTGTCTGCATACACTTAACATGCACATTATTTGCACACAAACTTCAGGCACATCAGCAAACCAGCTCTGAAAAGTGCTTATCATAAAGTGCTGAAATCAAAATTTGTGCGCAAATAGTTTGCCAGTGGGAACAGCATACACTCAACTCTCAACATACCCACACACACACACACACAAAACACACAGACAGACACATAAATATATATAGAAATACATAGATATATACATATATATATTTTTTTCAAGTCTTTTAAGTGCAAATTGTTGAACAAAAATGGAAAATATGAAACGCAAGTCTTATGAAAACCTAGCAAGTAAGGCAAATGAAAATTGTAAAGGAAGCAGCAGCAACAACAACATAAGTGGATTGCATTAAACTACGACTAGAGATTAGCTGGAAGTATATTATACGAGTATACACACATAGGTACATATGAATACATACATACATCTATACTAGATCATATACGATACTGTAATTTATTTATTTATGGCAAAGAATAAACATTTTGTTTTCGAAACGTATGCATGCTTTTGGAAAAAACAGACTTTTGAGTGTGTAAATAAATTCATTTACTTTCTTCCCCATCATTATTATTGATTTTTATGAACAACTCTAGTTTAGTTTAACACTCATTTTCCCCACATTTCAACCCACAATTCAACCTCTTTGCTATTCGAACAAACAAATACATGCTTTTGGAAAAAACAGACTTTTGAGTTTGTAAATAAATTTTCTTACTTTCTTACAACTAATTATTTCAAAATTCCCCCACATTTCAACCCCTTTGCCACTCTGTACACTTCTGTGGATACATATGTACGAGTACATCGAATACAAAGCGACAGAACGCTTCCTGTATTATTTCTTTTGGTTGTCGTACTCTACAAACAATACAAAAAGAAAGAAAAAAAAATAAATATCTTACGCAAGTCTGAAAGTATTTCTATCGAAGAGTTCTAAACTGCTTAACTGTAAATTGTAAATAGTAAGCGAGGGATATTTGTAAACTAATCTTCAAAAATTGACGAAACTGGACTTAAAATTAGCGCTATGCATCCACGAAACTATGAAACCTACACATATACTATATACATACTTATATAACTAAAAACAATATATATACATATATTATATACAGATAAAGATATACAGATATTACTACAAAATAGCATTAATATTAATACGAGTATTTCTTTTTATAGACGTAAGCCTAAAGGGAAAACCCAATTTGAAAACGATAACAAATGCAAACTAAGTACGATATGCACTGCAAGCACTGAGGAATTTGATTCAATTTTACTTAGTATTACGAAAAGAGAAATTGAAATAGCATTTAAACTAAAAATATGGCATAATTATAAAATTTAAAATTAATTTTTATCAAAACAATCGAGCGTAGGCGAACCGCAAGCAATGGGCAAAAGTTTTGAGCGACAGACACACACCAGGCAGAGAGTCGAACACACAGTTTATTTCTCTCAGTTCCATTTACCATTTGGCAGAAGTATGGTTGGACTCGAAAAGTCACAGTTTTTGGATTATTATTATTATTATATATATTAGAACAGGCCGACAAGAAAGCGAGTCAATGGCGTATATGTGAAATACATAAAAATGAGAAGGCAAGCATACGAACGAACACAAAGTCCACGGCAACTGCTCGTTTACAGGACTATCGAACACCCGAAAACATACTTGTATAACACCGAGAGACAAACTAGAGCCCTGCTCGATTGTAACCAAAATAGGCCACCAATGCGAGACAATGAATTGAAAGATGAGCCTGAATTATCAGCATTACTAAGCAGTGGTTTACTTTCAATTTCAATTATTTTATTCCCGAATGCAACAAGCTCTCCACCTTAGCTTTGGCCCCCATTTCACTCATTTGGGGGCTGCATTTTTCTATAATTTGTTTACTAATTTAAAAAAAATATATATATATTATTAATGCAGTTCACACTAATTCATTTTTTGCTGATGCCGAAACAAACCAACGGAATGTTTTTATATAAAGATTTGAGTATTGAGAAACGCTTTGCGATGTCTACAAGAAGTTTCGATGGACTTCAGTGTTGAGAAACGCTTTGTGAAGTCTGCAAAAAAATGTACATCATGCTTTTCATCCGATCATATTTCTATTGGCATTTAGTACATTTAGACTGCAGTCGAATTATATAACCTCTGCTTCGCATGGAATGCCTCGATATGGCACGACTGCGACTCCAATTTTAAAGATATTATTTCATGAAGCATAAAAGGACGAACGTGAAGGTGAATATGCTGGAAATTTTGGTTACAATCGTGTAGTCTACTGATAATCCCATTCAAAGTTATCTATAAAGCAGTACATACTTACCATATTTAAAAAAAAAAGACACACTTGCAGAAAAATAAGTGCAAATAAGAAAAAAATAGATGTTGCACATTGAAAAATACGTGTTAAATAGTGCTTCGATGTATGTAAATGTTTATGCCGATAACCGAATTATGATAAACTCAATATATATACGACCCGTACGCGTATACACACTGTAGAGCCACCACCAACAACACACACTAAAGGATTTCAATTAAAGGACATTATCAAAAGAAATTACAAAGAATAAACCTAAAGAATAACTGCATTGTATGCCCAGACGCTAGCAGAACTTTCTACACTAATGTTTTGGTCTCCTATGTAAAAAAAAGTAATGTTTCCATATTTGTCAGGTCTCATCAAAATCGCTAATAAACTCATTTCTGATACTCAACGAAAAGAGAATAAATTTTTTTTTGGTATTTCAACTTAAATTTTGGCCAAAACTGTTGTTTTATTTATTGGGCGGCAGCGGGATGGCAATTCAAAACCAAAATTGTATCGTCGGAAAGGAGCTCGAAGTAAAATGTTCGGCGAATATAAATCACCAGATTGTTGCCAAAAGCATTTCAAATATGTTTATTGGTTTCATACTAAAAAGGTTTCAGTCATCTACAAATCCTTACTCCCATAAGGAAATTTGTTATTAACTTCAAAAGGGAATTTTCATTTATACTATAAATTTACTTGTTACTCCACTTTTTTGACTCCTTACAGAAGAACATCTAAATAAATTTACGATTTTATGAAAATTATGAATGAAAATTTATGAATTTTTAAAAAGAAATGAAATTATTATTTCCTCCTTAAGGGAAATTTTTTATTTACTCCCGAGAGCAATATAATGTGACTACAAACACAAGAAGATTCAATTTACTTCTACAATTAAATACTCGCAACTAAAAGAACGAAACATTTGTTTACCATCAAAAACATAGGAAAGCTGTCTTCTGTTAAAAAAAAAGGACAAGGTTTTAAAAGAACAGCTGCAATAAGTTTCCCAAACAAGAAAATGTATTATTTGAATATTTAAAAAAAAAATTTTTTAAGAATTTGATTCAATTGATTTAATTTTTGAATAAAAATAATGAATTATTTTTATTTTTGAATTCGAACAAAAATACCCAAAAAAAAGATATGATTTATATTTTAAAATAAATTTAAAGGACATTTTTTTCTCATCAACTAAAAATAAGCCATGGTTTTTTAACTCATTCGAAAATAGTAAACCCCACAATAACGTGCTAAACAGGACACTGACCTTCAGGAAGCACACAACCATAATCCAGCGGACAGTTCTGACAAAGATGGCTGGAAAGATAGCATGGAAACAGACTATTCTTGTTAGGTAAAGAGACAATTTACGAGTCCATCCTAAGCCCTATATGGAAACATGCGCTACAAATATATGATATTTCTGCAGAAACAAACTTGCCTTTGAAACAACATAACTTCGCTGCTAAAATGTACTATGTGGAAATAAATTGCCGGAGCTACGGGTATGTTGCAATGGCAAGTTTTTCGAATAGATACAATTTTCGAATTGAACAACCAATAAAATGAATAAGTAAATGCATTTGTGAATCACGAATGAATGATTTCAGCAACTGTTCAGAAACTCAAAGAAATAACAAACGAGTGTATATGTGGACATTATAAAAAGTCTTCAATAATATAAATGCATCACAATTGAGTGTTTCTAAATCGTTCTAAGTTGAAGAAAGTAATGCTTTCCTGAAATCGTAAAATATTAACAATAATCCAACATTTAAGAATAAGGTTTTTAGGAGTTAGAGTACGTAAAGGGGCCTCAAGATGCTCAATTTTAATTTCTACAATTCAAACATATGGCGATGTTGTAGTTTTATTTTCATTTTTTAGTATTCTTAAAATATATATTTGGCCAACTGTGGACAAAAAGACATCCACAACATTCCTAAAACTGGAGAGGATCGAAATATGTGCAGTGGTACTTACGATTTAGATGGCTTGTCTTAATCACTATTTTTTCCACTGATGATAGGTTTAGACCGACTGAGTCAAATAATATTGCTGTTATGGAAACGATATGATTTAGAAATAGGCTGTGCATCCATGACTTGTTTACTTACAAAGTTTTGGGGACCCAATCCAATACTGAGGAAGCTAAAGAAATGCTTTCTAATCAAAAAGAAGCTATGTAGTACGGTCCAAACAGTAGGACCCATAGTCATGGAGTACTACGCTAAGGAATTTAACTTTTTAGCTCGTTCTAGGTGCCGCCTGGTAAGTCAGTTTAAGCAAGTGCTGTACTAAATATACTCGTACTCACTGCATTTAGAAATGAAACAAACATTGAATTTAAGTTAAATGAAAGAAATTCGAACGAAAATTGAAATACCTCTGAATGTTCTTTGAATTCTTCGCACTTCTTCTGCTTTGTGTATCTTCGCCTAGTGTATTCCATAAGATTCCCAATTAAGTGTTTTAATTCGCAGATATGAGTGTGTATGTATATGTAGAGCGGATCTGATCGGATCGGATCGGGTGCTCGGCGCTCGCTTGCTCAATGGTCGAGAGTTAGGCGTAAATATAAGCAGAGTGGGAGCTTTCGAGAGACGTCGATGTGCCAACATGGTAAGCGGCTCTAAGTTGCGGCAACAAGTGGAACCCTATGGGTCTACGGCGTCAGTGATGTGCGACTATTTGGAACTGGATTTTGCTGCGAACGGAACCGAAATAAAATAAAAAAAAAAATTAAAATGAAATAGATAAAGAAATACAAATTAAATTTTCTCAATTTTTAAGCAGTTTAGTTTGATATCCATTCTGTAAACATTCTATATGAAACTGATGTTTCGATAGACAATTCTTTTTTGGTTCTTTTCGTAGGCTTTTGGTTCCGTTTTAGAATCCATTGAAAAAAGCTTTGGAAGAAACTTTAGAAAAGCATGAGAAACTATAAAAAACGTATAACTTCATTAGCAAAGAAATGAGTGATTTTGTCACCAATCGATCCTATATAAGCTATGTATATAAAAGAATTAGGCTGCATATACTAAATGGTTCACACAGTCGAACAGACGGACGGACAAATAGAACTTGGTGCTTATACTTTCTAGTATACGTTTCCATGTTTCGATAACTATATTTTTTGGATTCAATTACAATAAATTTCATAGTTTAATACGATTTTATGTATTATAGTAAGTTTTTTCTGGATTTGACTTAAACATACTTGAGGAGTGAAGGCTGATTCGACCCAAATATCAGGCGCTTAGGGACACCAGAGGAACTGTCAATTCTGGTTTGGAACAAAGATCCCATTTCAGTGCTGGAACTTGCTTGTGAACTCAGTTCAGTGGCCGGGACGGACACAACTCTGTTGGGTTTTCGACGCGTCGCATATGTGTGTATGTGTGTGTGTGTAAGGGGGTGTGCAAGTGTGTGCAACCTCTGGCAGACGTCTGTTGCGTGCTCTCAGGCGTAACTATTTTTCGAGTTGCCGCAACGCCAGAGTCGAAAGACTAAAGACTTTAGTTGAGCGAAGACTCTAATCTGGAGCGGTTCAGCGCGATACCGATTTTACGAGAAACTAAAATCCAATTAACAAACATATTATTTTCATGTTCATGTGTGTGTGTGTGGAGGAAAAGATTACAAAACAGTTAAAAGAAAGAATTTTAAGAATTAACACTCGAGAATATAAATTTGAATAGAAACTGAAATTCTTTGCAAAACTAATGGCATACGAATGAACTGTATATGTGTTCATATGTATGTATGTGTGTGTGTGAAGTTCAAAACGAGCGTTTTAGAGTCGAAGTCGCGCTGCGTGCAACTGAGTTGAGCTGAGCTGAGCAGAGCTGCTAAGACGTGTTCGTTCATGCATAACCAATTGTTGCAGCTGTGAGTGTTGAAGAAACCATACCGAAAAAAACGAAAAAACGGGGGAAAAATACAATGCTTAAAGCCACAAAGAAATCGACCGATATATACAAATCGAAACTAAAAGTTAAGGCCAGCAACGGCAGCTCAGTCCACTCCCACACCCACACCCACTCCAATTCCAGCTCCAGTTCCAGCTCCAACTCCAGTCCCAATGCCAGCACCATGGCTGCTTTGGGCACTGAAACGGATCTGCCACCGGCCATGTTGAGCGTGAAACGTGCCTCGATCGCCACAATAGACGGCAAACAGCAACTACAACAACAGCAGCAACAGCAACTACAGCCACAGGCAACGGATAACGCCAACAACAACAACAACAACACGTCGAGTCCGCCACTCAAGAAGCTCAGTCTGAGGGGAAACCAACTCTGCGGCAGCATTTTGATAGGCAATTACAATGTAAGCCAAAGTCAGCAGCCAACTTGGCTCTTGCACCGCCTAACTGTGTCTGTCTCTTTGTGTGTGTGTGTGTGTGCGCGTTGGTGCTGCACATTTAGCTTTTTTTCCCGCTAGCTATGGAGGTTTTAGAATAACAAACAACTTTAACATTGCATATACATACATATACTATATGCCTATATATGTATGTGCATGCCAATGCCGCCAACTCAGCTATTTTCCCACTAAATTTGTAGCCCTCCAAAAGCTGATTGCATTTACAAATTTTGAATTGCAAATGCCACGATTTCTGGCCATTTATGAAGTTTCTAATTCTGTGTGAGCTGTTTACCCCGCTAGTTATGGAGTCTTTTTGATTGCTGATTGGCAAAATAATTTCAAATTTGCAATTGCATCTGGGTGTGTATGTGTTGCAAATTTCGATATTTTTTCGGCTAGTTCAAAAGCTGGCAGCATTTTTAACAAAACTAGTGAAGAAATGACAAGCTATAACACATACATCCATATATATTGTATAAAAATAGTTTGGTTTTCGAACATGCAATCCTAATACAAATAATATTCCCATCCAAAAATATTACAAAATATACATACATACATACCTATAGTTCATATATGATCGTACCATACTACTAACGTTTAGCACGTTTTGATTATAACAATAATTATAGAATCCCTCTCCTTCATTGAAGCGAATTTTCAAAAACACAAACTTAGAAATTAATATCTTGGTATTTGGATTTCAAATTCTGTCAATATATTTTATTAATGACAAAGCATACATAAGTATGTATGTATGTATGTATAAATTTTCTCAAGAATAGCTTAATAAGACGAACGAGAGCTAACAAAATCAAAACACTGATAAGAATAAAACAGTTATTAGCTTTCTGAGAGCATTATAATTGCTTAAGCTGTTGCTAACTTTTTCTAACTGGCAGCACTGGCGTATGTGTGTGTGGCCGAGTGTTGCCAACAATTTTCAACTTCGCTGCATTTCAGCAGGCAAACACGCACACACACATACGCACACATGGGCAGGCAAAAAACGTAAGGAGGGTGGGGGAGCGAAAGAGGAAGGAGAGGAAGAGGCGCTCTTGCGTCTGCAACGACATCATCGCATCATTTTTCGTATTTTATTTTTTTGAATTATGCAATTTCTTGTAACTGCATTGCGGTTCTTACTGTTGTGTTTTTGCTATTATTGTTGTTATTTGTTTGTTGTTGTTGCAGTATTTGACCCAATTGGAGGTATGCGAAAACGAAATGGAGGTCTTGGACCTCAGCTCATTGGCACAATTGGAAACCTTGAAATGCAGCCGCAACAAGCTGATGGAGCTCATCATAAATGGCAGCAATTTGCAAACACTTATTGCGGATCATAACTGTAAGTGCACTCACCTTAACTACGAGTATACATATGTATGTTGTTTGTTTATTTATGTAAATATTTAATTGTGTGTGTGTGTGTGTGTGTAGGTCTGCACAGCATTACAACGAATCCCGTGCCCTTGAAACTGCAACACATTGATCTATCGCACAACTATTTTAGCGAACTGCCGAATTGGCTGGGCGCCTGCGTGACACTAACAGCACTGGTCGCCGCACACAATCAGCTGTGCAATGTAACGGTACTGCTGCGCACCTATCGAATAAATCGATTGCGCACTCTCAATTTGGCGTACAATGCGTTGCAACATTTGGAACGATTGCCAGAAGCTGCATCCAGTCTGCAGGAATTGCAATTGCAGAGCAATGAATTGCAACGTTTGCCGGAGAATTTCTTTGCCGTCACACACGCACAGCTACGCACAATGAACGCGTCCTGCAACCGGCTGGCAACGCTACCCCGTTACGAGCAAAACAACAATGCGGCACTCGAGCAGCTATCGCTGGCCGGCAATCAGCTGAACGACAGCATTTTCGAGGCGCTCATCCATGCCGGGAAGCTAAAGGTCCTGCAGCTGGCCTACAATCGTATAGGCCAGCTGCCGCCGGATTGTGTGCGCAATTGGCCGGATCTAGAGGTGCTAGTGCTGTCCGGGAATATGTTGCAGCAGCTGCCCGAGCATGTGGCCACACTTAATCATCTCCAGGTGCTGCGCGTCCACTCGAATCTGCTGCTGACGACACCGCAGCTGGCGAAGCTCAGCAAGCTGCGGGTGCTCGACTTGGCCCACAATCATCTGGATCGGGTGAATCTGCTGTCGCTGGTGCCGCGTAATCTTAAGTACTTGGATCTGTCGGGCAATTTGCAGCTTCAGGTGGATGAGCAGCAACTGAAGGTCTGCCAGACACAGAGTCAGCGCCATTGGAGTCTCATCGATGTCTCGGGCAAGAATCGCGCTGCTCTGCCCACCAGCACGCGCTCCTGTCGCCCTCAAGAGGCCAGCACCAGCGCTAAGCTGCTAAGCTCCCCTCAGAAGCCGCCGCCATGGTGCATGGGCTTTGCGGAAACGCCCGGCGATTGTCGCAAGCTCTTAGTTAGCCAGCTGCGTCTGTCCCAATATCGTGGTATCGATGAGGCTCTCTACGGCATGTTTGAGGCTACCGATGGTAGTGCAAGCGTCGCCCAGCAAATGACTCAGGTGGTGCCCCGTCTTCTGCAACAGGAGCAGACCGTCAAGGAGACGGCGCAGGGAGATTACATGAAGTACACACTCCTGGCGGCTCAGCAACAGTGTGGATGTGTGCGCGGCGCCACCCTTCTCCATCTAACGCGGGCCCCCGCCAAGGTGCGTCCGCTAAAGAGCAAACGTTATGTGCTGCGCGTGGCCAGCACGGGCCGCTTGGACGCCTATCTGGTGCGACGCACCACCCAACTTCGTCTCACAGTGCCCGAGACGAGCATCGGCAGCAATGGACGCACCCACGCCTTACCCGATCCCGAGCTCCTCGAGGTAAGTGGCGCCACACAAAAGTATAATGGAATTTCCCTTATAGTTTTAATTATTGCTTTATTCGTATCAATGATATGATAATTCCACGGATTATGTATGTATGTTTTAGAGATATTGTAATAGAACGCAGGTTGCTAAAGTCATCCAACCAAGTAATATAATAAAGGAGCTGTTGCTGTTTCCGGATTCAATAGAATTGTTCGATATCGTTATAAGACTATTGTAGATGAGGGACTTTTATAAATGCACAAATCAGGGAATACAGTCGTATCGACTGTGACGTTTTTAATAAAGCCCCGAAATAACGTTAAGTATTACTTTAAAAAAAAACAAGTTTGGTTACGACATCGTAATAAACAAAAGCAAATTAAAATTGAAAACAGCTCTAATTCTTCTTAAAATACATAGTGTTCCGATTTCGATAAAACTTCAAAATAAAATGAGACACTATTTTAAAGAATTTTAATATCAGATTTGGTTTAGATATCTTCATTTGAAAAAAGTGAATCTAATAAAAGTTCGCACTAATGATGCCATATACATACATACATATACATGTATTTATATATGTCAGTGTATGCGTAGCTTGATTGTCCTATCTATTAGGATTCAAAAGCTATTGCAGTTCATACAGTCGAACAGACGGGCCGACATGTCTATATCGATTTGCCCTCTACAGCTGCTCATATAGGAAGGAGCCTATAGAATGCTGGTTACTTATTTAGAATAAGGGTCAAAATGGGTTTTTTAATAAGGTTTTAAAATACCTGCTTTTGAAAAGGGGCTCTTAATTTCCTTAAAGTAGTTTCAAACAATGCTAAGTTATGGTCCGAAATATCCTTGCAGATAACCCTTAGCAACGACGACGAATATTTGGTGCTGGGGAACGCGCAGCTTTGGGCAGTCATGGACATTGGAAGGGCCGCCCGGGAGATACGCAAAGAGGAGAACGCACTGCTGGCTGCCAAGCGATTGCAGGACATTGCCCAAAGCTTCGGCGCCAACGGAAATCTGAGCGTGATTGTCGTCCGATTCCGGCATCTTGGCACCGATGTGGACCACCTGATACGGGAGCTAAAGCAGAGCGTGCGTAAGAAGCCGCCGCCGGTGGTGGCCCTGCCGCCGAGCGTCTGCAAAAGGACCTGCTGTGATCGGAGCAATGCATGCCGACATCGTGCGCTGGAACGGGAACCACCGCTGGCTGGTCGATCCTCGCCCAGCGGCCAAAGCGATCAACTGCAGAAGGATAGCAGTGGCCTGCCGGGGGCTAACGATGAGTTCATATTGGCGCATGCGCGCGTTCTGCAGGAGGAGCAACAGCTGGAGATGCTGGACGAAACCGAATCCGTGCTGTCCGAGGAGCAGTTCAAGTGTTGGGAATACATGCTCGAGCAGAACACCCAACTGCTGTTCGACAAGGAGCTGAACACCATCTCCAAGTCCTTCACCAAGCAACGCAAGCCAAATACTCCCTGCAACGATCGCTATGACTTCAAGTCGAATCTCATGAAGAGCGTCACAAACAAGTTCATCTCAAGCAGCACTCCACAATTGCTGCACCACAGCCACAAGGAGCCACCGCCGCCACAGACTCTGATGCCGCCCTATCAGCAGCCACAGCCGATGGCTGCGCAGGCGCAAGCGCAGGCCCAACAGTTGTCCTTTCTCTCAAAGCATTTCGGCAGCACACGCTCCTTCCAGCAATCCCACGGCTACAATCTCTTCGATGCCAAGCCCCGCGAGGTGAAGTTGGCTGCCGGCGGCGGTCCTCATGCCGCCTACTTCGGCTCCCTGCAGCGCCTGATGCCCTACAACTTCGAATACGACTTTGCTGTCACCCAGGAGCGCAACATTCTCGACGAGGAGGACATCGATGAGTACAGCGAGCACGAAAGCCGCATGCGCAAGTACTGGGGCGTGGCCACAACGGAGCTTTAGCGGCGTCTCCAGGATAAATTTCTTTAAGCGTTGTTTGTTTTCCATTCATTTTTTTTTGTATTATTTTTTTAATGAGAAAGAAAAGAAAAATTCGCCGTTGTAAGCTTAACCCAAGGTTGTTTTAACTCTGTTCAACTCTTACCTTTCGAAAGTCTCCGGAAATACACGTACACAGGCATCCGTCCGTCTATGGAGCTTAAAACCAATGGATCAGGCGTAAAGTCTTCCAGAAGGAGCTTTAGATTTTAGACTCAGAAATGTTCCATTTGCTGTATTTAAGATAAAATAGAGAATGCTTTAGCTAGTTTTGTTAAATAACTTTCATTTATTAGTCGAAAATAGAGCTGCGTCTGATCATGAAAGGCCAAAATAATAGAGAAGAGCTCAGGAAGTCGGTATTTTGTAGCGAAAGTAGAGTTAAAGTCGTGTAGACCATACAACAGCTATGAAAAATTCTAAATTATTGAGCGAGGATAACATAATTGCAATCAAACAATATTTAAAACGAGTCGAACGTTGAAGTCGCGCCAGCCTCTGTATACTCTATACTCTAAAATAGAATTTGTTGTATCTATAATTACCCTGACAGATACATATGTATATAACTAAATACCCCTTAAGATATATTTCCAAACCAAAAAGTTATCAATTAAAGAGTGATTTTTCCACCAATCACTCCTACTCGCACAGCACTGTTTAATTTCAATTCGATCGTACAAATGCATATAGAAGTGTTTGGTTATCTAAAGTCTAGTATTAGATATTTCCTACACAATAAGTGTACTTTCGAATTAAATTTCTTCAATTATTTAAGAGTTGTCAGTTTTGAATATTTATGCATATTTGTGTTTTTTGAAACCACTATATAGTTTCGATCTACATTGTCATCATTGTTGCATACAAAGGAAAAATTTATGGCCGATATCAAAAAATCAGAAGAGGCGCATGAATTGAAAAAGATGAAAGTTTCAGTTATATTTTCCGTCCTTTTAGAAAATATCTTATACGAGTATAATGGAAACTCAACTTCAGTACAATTGTTTCGGTATATTCATAAAATCATATATATATACTACATATTCAAATAATTTGTGGGTGTAAAAAAATTGCATGTACTTGTAAAATGTACGTGTGTGTGTGTGTGTGTGTGTGTGTGTTGACAAAAAGGAGTCCTTGGAAAGGATATACATCATTACAAACCAATTAATTATTATACAGTTTACGCGACAGAACGACAGATTGATTGACAGATTGAGATGATGAGGCGCAGCTTATGTGTCTATACTTATTCTAATTCTAGGGATCGACGCTCCAATGTGCAGTTATTGCAAGCCTGAACATAATCCTTGCATTTAACTGAACTTGATTGATAGAGCGACCCCAAGAGTGGTTTGTCTGTTTTGGTTGCCCGCAGTATTATCGAATGGTGTGCCTTTCTAGTCGGTATCGTGTTTCTCGCTCTCGTGCTTGCTGGCCGCCCCTCCTCCATCGCCCGCTGGTCCCGTCTGACTCGTCGTCATGGGTGGCAGCGCTGTGGGGGGTGGGCCACCGGCTGGTGGTGGCGGTGGCACGGCTCCTGCTGTTGCCGACGCCGCTGCACCACCGGGCGTTGTCAACGTGGGCTGCTGCGTGGCCGTCGGTGGCACCGGGTGGTGCTGTGGTGGCTGCTGCACGTAGACGGCCGGATCGTGCATGTGCCCACCTGGTGGCGGTTGCTGTTGCTGTGGCGTCGGCGGTGGTTGTTGCTGCGGCGGAGGCCCCAGCGGCGCATTGCCGTGGTCGGGCGCATAGTGCACCGGTGGTGTGCCGTTGTGCTGTGGCGGCGGACGAGCGTTCATGTAGTGGGGGCTAAGCGGTGGTGCGTAGGACTGCTGGTAGGGCGAATAGGGAGCGTAGTAGGGCTGTGGAGTCGGATGTCCGCCATATTGGGGCTGATAGTAGGGCGAGCGTGTGGGGCCAGTGGGCGGTGGACCGTGTGGTTGGCCATAGTTAGCATAGCCTGGTGGCATGCCGGGCAGTCCGGGCGGCGCCTGGTGTGGTCCCATGTGTGGCGTCATGTGCGGGTGACCAGGCGGTGGTGCATGATGTGGATGCATGCCTGGTGGCATACCCGAAGGGGGAACTGCCGTTGGCGGGGCACCACCACCACCCGGCTGCTGTGGCGTTTGCTGCTGTTGCACCGCCGCTGGCGGTGGCGTAGGCGTGGTTGCCGCTGAGGGTGGTGCACCAACAGAAGGTGGACCACCTTGCTCGTTGCTCGATCCGCCACCTACCGATAGTGGAGGCGGTGGCGTTGGTGTAGGCACCGGTGTTGGCACTTTATTGGGTGCCACTTGCTTGCTCACATCCTTGGGTGGCTCGCTGCTGCCAGGGCCTGCCAGGCCACCAGCTAGTGGGGCTGCTGCTAACATGGGCGCTGTTTGTGGTGGCAGCGCGCTGGCCATATCAAGCTTCTCGTGCTTTATGGGTGGTGGCGGTACTGAAGGCTTTGGCGGCGGTTCGATATCCATGGGCTCCGGATCCGTTTTGCTGCCAGATTCGTGCTGATGTACTACTGGCGCTGCCGGCAGCGTGACTGGTATCGTTGCATTATTAGTTACCGGCGGCTTTGCGGTTATGGCGACACTAGTGGGCTGAACTTCCTTTTGGGCTGCAGATGTTGGCGGTTCTTGTGCTGACGCTGGAGTGGCGCTTGGCTGAGGCGGTTGCTTGTGCTCTTCGTTGCGATTGGCGGCTGCCGCCGCTGCTGCTGCTTGTGCTGCAGCCGCTGCTTGCGCCACCGCCGAGTTGGGTTCGTCGAGGCGTTGTCGATCGCGTTTTATGTCCTCGTACATGCGATGAACCATTTTCTGGAATGTTTCCTCATCGACGGCGGGCTTGCAGTGTCGCTTTAGCTCCTCCTGAAACGCTTCGCTCGACTCGACCATGCGCAGCTTCTTGGCCTCAAATTTCTCCTCCATCTGCTGCAGCTCAGCTTCCAGTTTGGTTTGGTGCATGGTAAGAGAGCTTACCTGACGCTTCAGCACCTGCATGCGTTGTGTAGTGACTACAGAGCGCACATCGGGGACAACTGCTTCGGAGAATATCTCGTTAATGAGGCGATGATTGCGCAAATAGCGGGCATAGGCCATGTGCTTGGCTGTGTAGCCCTCGTCTAGGTCATCTTCATCTTCTGCGGGCTGTATGTCAATGCGACGTTCGTGCTGGCTCTTGCCGCCACCACCGCGCGATGGCGTCTCGTGCACATCCACATCTGATTTGACTTTGCTCTTGGCGGACATGTACGCCTGGTAAGCGGGCGTCTGATGGTACGCCTTCAATGCCTTCTCATACTCCAGTTTCTCAGCCTCGTATTCGTCAATGTACTCCGTCTTCTCCTCTTCGCTCAATTGCTTCCACATTGCACCGATCTTCTTGCCCAGCTCCCATAATTTGAGCTCTGGGTGTTGGGCCTTTACACTGTCCCACACCTTTTTTGAGTAACGCATATATGGCAGAATGGGTTTTTCTGGCGGCTTTGGCGGTTTCGGCAGACGGGATTCATTTTGGTTCTTGCTGCTCGACGATTTGGTGACCTTTTGCGGGGTAAACGCTGGATTCCCATAATTGCTGTGCGTAAATATGGGCGTCTGGTCCTTGTTGCGGTCCGAGCCGCCGCCACCGCCAGACGAGCGAGACCGGCTCCCACCACTGGGTATCGGTGTCGCCGGTCCCGTTGGCGCTCCAACAGCTATTTGCTTATAGTTGCTCGGCAACGCCATTTCTACTTGAAAAGCGAGTTAATAATTCTAGCCAATGCTATTGCAGATGCATTTAAGTCGTCAACTCACAATTTGCTTTCGTATTTTTCTTTTTCGATAGTACAACAACAATTCTGCCGACTTCACGCGGACGCCATTGATACTTTTCTCTATACCGAAAACGAGTGCGACACAGTTATCGCTATTGCTAGTACTCGATAGGCAGCGATACGATACTAAAACGATTTTTTCACACTCTCACAATCATTTTCGACAAGGTGGCAACCATGGCAGGCACATTTCAGTTGTGTGGCAACTGAGGTTGCGCTCGTACAAAACAAAAACAATAATTGCTCGAAAATGAATTTAACGCCGCGCTGCTTTGCGCGGTTGTCCAACAAATTACGATATGGACAAATCGCAAATTTGTGTATTCGCAGCTCGACGTTATGTCAACAAATCCATGCAAACAACGTTCAGCCGGCAGCTCCGGTTATTCCACAGCCATGCAGATTCTACAGCAGCCAAACGGAAGTGGACGCAAGTCTGGACAGCGTTACCTACGAACGGGTCTGCACAATAACACTGGACTCCCTAACCGACTACTTCGAGGAGCTGACCGAGAACGACACAAGCTTGACCGGCAGCGATGTGGCCTATGGCGTAAGTATAAACACACACACACGCACTTTGAACCGAATCGCAAACTCATGCAACAATGTTACATCATGTGGCAATTAACTTTCTAGGACGGCGTCTTGACTGTTAATTTGGGCCACACACATGGCGTGTACGTCATCAACCGGCAGACGCCCAATAAACAAATCTGGTTGAGTTCCCCCACCAGCGGGCCCAAGCGTTTTGACTTTGTTGGCTCCCGTACCGGCAGCGAAGGCAAGTGGATTTACAAGCACACTGGAGAATCCTTGCATCACCTCCTCCAGCAGGAGATACCGAAAATACTGAAAGCGCAGGCTGTGGACTTTATGCAATTGCCCTACGGCAGTTAGAAGAGAGGAGAGTGATCCATATAGAAAGAGAGGGAGATAGAGCAACAACAACCAATTCGATTGCAATAACAAATACCTTAAATACAATTATGCAGAGTTATAAACAAATTAGAATGAAAAGAATGCGTGTATTTTTCTTTTAAGCTGCGTATATGTAATTTATTTACCTGAGAAGCTCAGGGTACAAGTCTGAAAACATGTTTACAGAGATAAAAAAGAACCCAAGTAAGACAAATGAAACCAAAACGTTGATTTATTTCAAATATTTATAGAATTAAATAGTACAGTATGAATGACTCGTTTATTTTATACCTACGCTACATAACACAAAAAAAAAATGGGGATATTATTTATACGTTTTCAGCTCCCCAGTGCAGCACCCAGAAGCACTGAAATGTACATGTTTTGTATAAATTTCAACTTCGGTAGAGAAACAAAATACATTATTCATCATTGGACGCATTCGACGTCCGTTCGTAAACAAACCGCATAATATTTCTTATATATTATTGTTATTATAGTTTTTAGCTAATTTTATAAATCTTAAAAGTCAAACTTAACTAACAACTCCTTTGGGTGTTGCTCTCTCAATACAATACAATAAAATAAAAGAAAGAAGGCGCGCTCCGGCAGTTTATTTTTTGCTCATTCATGAAATTTCGTTATTTAACTTCTTTTTTTGTTTTTTTGTTTTTTGTTGGCCATGGCAAGCAACGAGATGTACACATGGTAATTACGTTTACACCCCACACACACGCACACACACTGAGTGAGTTGCACATTACATGTTGTAAGGCTGCTGTTGTGGGTGCATATAATTCTGTGGCATGTTGTTGTACGGTTGTTGGGCGGGGGGGCCATTGGCCCAGGGATTGATGGGGCCACCTGAGCCACCGCCATACCCACCAAAATTCTGCTGTCCCATTGGGCCCGGCCCTTGGTTATAGCCTCCGTAGCCAGCCTGCATATTATATGGCTGTTGCATGTTATATTGTGGACCGGCAGCCGGTCCAGGACCCATTTGTTCATTACCATAGCTGCCGGGATAGTAGGGTCCATTGTTGTGTCCGACCCCGGCCATGTGATTCATATTTTGCGGTCCACCGCCACCACCATAGTGCTGTTGCATTTGATGTGGATGTTGCGGCTGCTGTTGTTGTTGTTGTTGTGGCGGGTTTTGGGACTGCGGCTGTTGTTGTTGCTGCTGCTGCTGATGCTGCTGTGGACGTTGCTGGCTGGGCATTAGGTTGGAACGCATCGGTGGACGCTGTGCGTTATTTCTGGACATCTGTGGAGCTGATCCTGGGACGGAGCCCTTGCCGCTGGTGATGTTGTTGCCGCTGGCATTGGACAGCGTTCCCATCAAATTGGCAATGATATTTTGGGTGTCCTTGAGCGATATCTTCGATGCTGCCGGCTTGAAAGTCAAGGCGTTCGGCGATGATTCCACAGGCACAATGGGAGCACCGGTCTGCTTTCCATTCGAGTCCTTTGCCTTCATGACAAGATCATCGAAATTGTAGTCATCATCGTCGTCGTCGTCCAGCATGAATTGGGGGGAGTTACGCATCGGGCCACGACGCGACTTGTCGCGATCCATTGAGGGGATGCGCTCGCGGTCGCGTTCGCGCTCACGGGACGGCGGACTCTTGCGACGGGTGGGAATACCGGCAGTCGATGAACGTGAAGTTGAGGGCAGATCGTTGGTGCCGCCATGATTGGCGTTGGCCACGACGCGAGTCAGGAAGTCGCTACACGACTCACCATCGCCGCACAGCTCCGCCAGGTTGACAAATTTACGTAAACGCTCCACGCGCGGCGGATCGATGACCTCCAGCTTGCGAACATGCGATATGAGATGCAACTGCTCCTCGCTGGACAGAAACTTAAAGTTCTGCAGCAGTGTCTGTAGATCTGAATCGGTAAGCGATTCCATGCCGTTGCTTGACTCACTATTGGCCACACTGGCCTTGACAGCCTCGACAGCTGCCGTTTGCTTCCTTGCCTCCTTGGACAGCTGTTGCTCCACCTCCTTGACCAGCTCGTTCAGATCCAGGCCGATCGGTGTGGCGGCCTTCATCTTCAGGCCCAGTTGCTCCACAACTTCGCCAAAGTGTAGCGACGAGTTATTCTCAGCCTCGCGCATCCTATTCACCTTAACCAGCAGGGTGAAGAAGTGGATCATTTTAATCATATCTGCGGTGGTCACGTTATCGTATCCCTTCATCAGCAAGGCGCTGGCCAATTTCGTGGACACAATTTGCTTATCGAAGGGCAGCTGGTAGTCTTTTTTCTTATTGACTTCGTCGAGTTTGTCTTCAGACGACGCTGTGGCACCTAGGAGGAGGGGGCGGGGAGGTTAGAAGTGCGCCAAGTGTGGGGAGAGAAAGAGAGAGAGAGAGAGAGAGAGAAAGAATGGGGGAGGATGTAACACAAAAAGTTTAGTTAATGCCATGAATTTTCTCTGATTCGGTTTTCTAATTTAATTTTACACACATTTCTTTTCAATAATAAATACATATATAATATATGTATATATATACATATATATATATAGTCGGATACTTATCGGACACGAAGTTGGACTGCAAAACGCCGAATCTAAAAACACACTTCACGACAACAACAAAAAATAGGCAATATGTGCACTTGATCGCAAGAAAAACTAGATGTCGTACTTTCTTCTTTCACACAACGCTAGACTTTCTTTATGCGCGAATCGGATACGGCGGAATCGGGCGTCGCATTACTGGACAAAAATACTTACCCCGCTCGCAGAGGCAGATGACGGTGGTACTCAAAACTGAGCTCTGTACTCTGATCTCTTATCTGACTGTCCCTCTTTTTTATACATACATACATGTGTATATAGTATATATATTTTTTTATATGACAAATAGAAACTGTAACTCACGTTTTTTTTTTTTCGAAGCAATATATTTGGGCGGTCGCAAAGCGGTTTCGAACTAAAACCGCTCCGGAACCAAATACCCAAGAGAACGCGTGTTCCGAACCGAACCGCCAGACATGACTTAATTTTTAAATATATGTAGTTTGATTTAATTACTAAATAAGCTTCTACTTAAAACATACGAGTATACCCATCGATTGGGTTCAAAAAAGTCCTATACAAAACCGATTCCCGAAACGGAATGAAAGCGTTATCGAATCGACCCAAATTTGTGTTCAAATTCGAAATCAACAAATCACCAAAGAGTCACTCGCGATTTCTCGACAACCGGACGCGACAAATGAATCTGTAAGAGACGAACTGATTATGGTACTATCATGAAACTTACCACGGGAATTCACTTGGAATATGATGGCCGCAATATTAGAGATTAACTTTTTCACAACACGCACTTTTTGTGGATCATCGAGCACTTCGGCAATAACAAGACCCCTGAGCTTCTCCTTGATAAGCTCCATGAACACACAGTTGTCCTCATTGAGGAGCAGCTCATCGGCAGCATTCGCTTGTACTTTCTCCATGGCCAGGGCTTTTCCAAGCAGATTGAGGGCCTTGGGTCCTAGGCTGCCCAAATGATCCTCCAGAGCGGCCAACATACGCAATACACTTACAACAGTCAATGGACCATCATCGGCCGCTTTATCGTGATCCTTGCTCGAAGCGGCCGGTGACGTGGAGCGGGTTGGCTGATTATATTCCGGATAGATCCGAGAGTCAAGCACACGGAAAGTCTCGACCTGTTCGTAAGACCGGGACGGACGATAGCCATCGCCTTTGAAGTACTCGTGTTCTAAACTGCGGCGATCGGCATAATCGTCGCGACTGCGCGAATGGTTTGACAAATTTGAGATTGTGCGCTCGCGACCATCCCGAAGACGGGCATGGTCGGGATCGCGGCTATAGGGCGATCGGGAGCGCTTGTTACGGGGCGTGCGGGAGCGGGAACGTGTGATTCGTCCTGATCGTCGCATATCACGCCTTACGGGCGAACGTGTGCGTGATCGACGACCATAACGTCCGGCCATCCGAGCACGCTTCGGTGTTACCGAACGCGATCTGGAGCGACCATAGGGACGGTTATTGGAGCGACGTGGCGGTGAGGAATGTTCATCGTCACTGATGTTAATGACCGCCTCTTGGCGGTTGCTGCGAAAATTTGGTTTGCGACGATCGTTTCTAGGCAATGGCGGCGAATTCTCTCTGGATGTGAAACGTTCATTATCAGGAAGGGGCGAAGCGCCTTCCACGCGTATTTTATAGCGGTCCATCAGTTTCTTGGTTTGCTCCTCATCGTCGTCGCCCAGCTTGAACTTCTCCTGCAAATCCTTTTTGATCTTATTCACGGCTATGTTGAAAAGCTCGACACGACGCTCCTTCCAGTAGGCTATCCATTCAGGCTTATAATCATAGCGATTCGGATCACAGGTCTTCTCCTCCTGCAGCTGTTTGTAGCGTCGATTCCAGAACTGCTTCCACTCATCGGGATAGTCCGGGTGCTTCTCGGGATTGGACTCATAGGTTTCTGTCTCATCACGTAGCTGCTTCAGCTGCAATTCGAACATGCTGCGAAACTTCTCCCACTTGTAGCGTTCCTGAGCAATGTGCGAGGCCTGTATTGACAGCTCCTTGGGTGTAGGCAGTTTAATTTTAATATTGGACTTGACCGTTTTGTCACCGCCAGCTGGTGGCGAACGATTCGAGTTACGATTGGTCGACTGTTTCTCATCTTGCTGAATTTTGTTGCGCAACTTCTTGCCATCCGCCGGCCCAAAGTTTTCATCGTCGCTGGAAATGGCATCTAAATGAATTGAGTTCTCATCGTCCAGAGGGACCGCCTTGTCAGGATCTGAAATCTTGAGCGTTATCTTCAAAGTTTCATCAGTTTTGGCAGTGGAGTCGGGCTGCAGCGCCTGTATAGCAACGTCCACGAAATCGGGACCGGAACACTCATCGAAATGGAATTTGTTTTTGATTTGAATGCAAATCTTGTTTTGGTTACGACGGAAATCCTCCCCCGCTATGGACAGGAGCTGCATAGTCCGTCCATATTTCTTCTCAATGGCCTCCGCCAATATTTCCGTGGCCTTGGCCAGCTCCATGGGCTTTCTGCGTATTTTATTCAATACCCCATAGGCCTTCTGGAAGTGCGCCTTCAGGAAATTGTTGCGATGTTGCATCGAAGCCCAATGCATAAAAATCGATCGGCTGTCGTTGCATGTCTCGCATAGCACACAAAAATAATCGGGACGTGGCTGATTATTTTCATGCAGCTCCACGGCGTACTCAACGCCAATGAGTGGTCCATCGATGTAGCTTTCGATTTGCTTGTGAATGATTGGAGTGCGCGCCATTTCTTCTTCAAAGCCGGGTGGTACTGGCTCTCCCGGCAAAAAGCTCATAGTGATTACCACCGTCACTGTTGTTGTTGTAATTCAACCTGCAATTGAAAAGCGTGTGCGTGCGTGCGTGAGCCAATTGCGGGCTTATAAATGATCATCAACTCTGGCAAGTATATGTATGTATATTTTTACCTTCTCTTCTGCACGGTCGTGGCCACAATGGCGCCGTTTCTTTTTTTCAACAAATGCGTATTTCAGTTAACCAATATATACATATGTATCTGTACATAATATATGTATGTATGTATGAGACACACAGCAATAATAAAAGAGACGGACGCAGCACACACCAACACGACACTAAAGGTGCGCCGTGCTTTATCGCCGCAACCAAGCAACGCGTTTAATTTAGAGCCTCTCTCTCTTTTCTGTCGCTGTCTTCGCTGATTATCAATTTAGTTACTTACAATGCTACATAATCGGCTGCCAACTTAATGCTAATTGTAAGTTTTGCACTGTTCTCTACTTTTCTCAGTATTACTTTTTGCACAAAAACTGCAGCAGGCGCTGCCGAAAATTCACTTGTAAAATTCTCACGAAAAAAGAAAGAAAAAATCATGTACAAGAAAGTGCTGCCAATATCTGCATGACACTCGACCAGTGCTGACGAGTGCGGCTTAATGTACTAATGCACTAATTACAGTGTTGTAAGTGGTTTAAAACTGAGTTGGCAGCACTTTAATTTTGAAAAACATCTGACTGACAAATGACTGTTAAATTTATCATCGAAATGTGATTTATAATTATTATAAATAACGACACAGATTTTGGTGCTTCAAAGTTGAAATCACAATAGAATAATTAAATAAAGATTCTTTTAAGCTATATATGTAAATGTAATTTTTCTACAAATTGGTAGACAAGTTATGTAGGGAGCTGGAAATATTATTCAATTCAGTATTATTTATTTATTGAGCTAGCCTAGAGTCAAAACTGAAGCCAACATGGAGTTTATAGCCTGGCTAACAGGGCTTTAAGCTATATGAGTTTGTGAACGTTGTTAGTTTTAGAAATTTTAAGCAATGTTCATTTGTGAGTCTTGTGTGGCCCATTCTTTGTTTAATAATTTTAGTTTGATGCCACCTTGAAAGGTCATTGTGTTGTAAATTTTATTTTATTTTATTTTGGCGTACGAGTTGGAGCAAAGATTGTAGCTTTGTTGGGCCGAAGTATCATTCAATTCAATATTCTTCCAGTAATAATACTATATAAGTATTAAAACTAATGTAAATAAATTCTATAAAATAATTGATGATTAATTTTAAGATACTTGTAGCATTGGGATGTCTAAAACAAAATATGTAGGAAAAATAAAATTTAAACATATCAAGCAATCATTTTCAAAGCACACAAAGTATAATCTTCATATACATATATTTACTAAAAATGTTGTATAACGTATATACAACGTATATGTACAAAATTATAAAAGTCTTAAGATTTTGTTTTTCTTGAGCTTGAGCAAAATTTAAAAATATTTAACAGAAAGATTGCCCACACAAATACATATTGGACATGAAATGAAATTATATCTTTGCGAGTTCAATTTACAGAAATGCTCATAAGGGTTGATGACATTCCCACAAACACGAAAATAGACGGCCCTTCTCTGCTCAGATGTTGTAATTCAATGTTCCTCCCAATTTAAGATCCCTAAAATATAACCGACATAGCACTCGTACTAGTCAGGGGACTAGAAGTACTCGTATCTGGATGAAAGTATCTGCACATGTGTGAGAATAATTGAAAAACAAGTCGTCGAGTCACTCCTCATTAAACTTCATCAAGATTTCATTCATAAATTGCACTTTGATGGTTCAGAAGTGGCTTTATCGTCTGTTTCCTAGAAACCGCATCAAGCGCAAATGACAAATGTACGAATGGATGGATGTAGGACGAGTATACGAATATGTACAGATTACAAACACCCGTCAAATGTGCGAGCGCGTCCCAAAACAATTTTGCATCCCACCCCCCGCCATACCCTATGATAGATGTAACACGTATCAGTCGCAGCCGGAAGAGTCACATTAATCGGTACATGATGATGATAATGGCAATACAAGCGACTCTTCACAATGAACCGACCATATGCGCACATAGACAATAAAAATACGGTGCCGCCCCGCCTCCTGCAGTGCAAACCAACTAACAGACACTCTCTCATACTTGAGCGGAATAATTCGAACTGCTGGGCAGTCCGTTGGGAGCAGGTTGGTGGTGTGGCAGTCGGACTGGGACTGGGATTGGGATTTGGATTTGGATGGGCCAGCAGCATTTACACATTCGCAATGAAAAGTTCATTAAATGAACATGCTGACATGAGTTATGGCCCTTTTTTGACAACGAAAAATTGCGAATCAGCCCAGCTGTTCCATGCGGTGAGGTTTTTACAAATGCGATACGCGGCAAGCGGCATGCGGCATGGGGCATGAGGCAATCGGCAAACAGTAAGCGGTAAGCACCAAGCGGCATGAATGTGAATGCTATTTTGCATTAACTTTGCAGGCTGAAAGAAAGGGGCACTCACACACTCACACACACACACAGACCCCCCCCCCCCCCCCCACACAGTGGTCCAAAACGGGCATTCTTTCATTCATTTAACGTTAGTAAGATACTTCACCTGCATATTAATAAGATAAGTCTGCATATCGGATTTGGAGTGCCTAGCTATTATGGCTACAAAGTTATCAAAGTTCATACTGTCGAACAGGAGGGCGAACGGACGAAGAAATAGACTTACATGCCTATATCGATTGTTGATCGTATACATTCAGACCTTTTAATATATATAATATATATAGCCTAATATTCTACGCGTACACAGGGAGTATACAAACAACAGCGTACATAAACTTTGTGGCCCGAAGCAATCACACATAAGCATATCGTTCGTAAAGCTGTGCATTCTTCCTGCATATTTCTAGCTTCCCCAAGTACAGTATGAGCAGCCGTAGTGGCCGGTAAGAAGCACAGTCTAGTCCATTATTCCTTAGTTGCTTTCACTCTCTTGAATCTTTCGATATACTCTAAACTCCTAAAAACCCAACTTTAACCGCAATGTTTTTTGTAATTTCTTTGGAATTTTGTCTTGGTTTAGGTGGAGTGCTTCTAAAAACTATTCTTTGATTGTTTAGGGCTTTAGGATGCTGCACTAAAAACTGAAACTAAAATCTTAATTGGTGTGCTAGATACAGTTTTTTTTTTTTGGGATTTATCTTTGATGATGATATTTTGGCTTCTCCAATTCCTCAATCAAGAAAAACTTCTAGTCTGAGTAATCAGTGCAGTGCCATTAACGATTATTGCTCTGACAACTACTTAAACAAGTAAGCCAAGTTCTTTTATTTTGTTTGGCGTCTCTAGAGTTTATGGCTAAAAGAATATGGACAAATATTTAAATTTTAGCCTTTTGCTTTTGAAGAATAAACTACTCGTACATTTCTGCACAGAAATGTGTTTTAAAAGTCCATCGTTTTGCAGCAAGCTGGGGAGTTTTTCAAAAAAAATACGAAATTTCTAGACATATATGATTTTTGAAAAACTTGATGTGCATAGCGTTAAGATAAGTTACAACGCTAAGTTTGGCATTACTAGCTTTTGTGGCTTGAAAAATATCGGCGTTCATACAGTGAGACATTCGAGACTGTTTTTTGACTGTCCTTTGTCGGTCGCGCCCACTGTGCGGCTGGCAGATGAGAGTAGATGAACAGATATGGGCGCAGACAGTGAAATGGACGACAGCGACACCCCTTTCAGATGTAGCTCCGATATGGACGATATGGAGGATATGGACGTGCAATGAATGCCTGCGTGCGTGTTTTTTAGACAAAGTGCCAGACATACATGTGTAACTTTTAAGAGTAAGCAGCATACTATACATATACATATGGACATACATATATACATTTTGTTGTACGTTTGTGCGATTGTTTGTGCGAATGTTTGTACGAATGTTTGTTTGTGTGTGTGCACGTATTTTTGTTTTGCGCAAATATTTTCTTGGCAAGTTGTGTGCAATTCATTAAATGAAACCCGCCAGATAATGCAAATTGCTTTATTTTCGTGCCACGGCCCACAAAGTGTTGCAGTTGCGGCAGCAACTGTTGCAACTTTGCCAACAGCAACAATTTACAATTTGCCGACGACAAATTTATTTGCGGCGCAAGCGAATGGAAGAAGCATCAATGAAATGAAAAGCGCACCACGTCTACTTACCTCTCTTACCCACCGCTGCCACCGCTGCCACCCATGCCCCACACACACACACACACACACCTATGCCTTGCAACGTATTCATGTTGTATGCCACAGCACAGACATTTGCACCGAAAGTTCAAAAATTCCATTAATTATTCTCTTAAGAGTTCTGTGCGGCATTTTTCGAGTGCTAATTTTTAAGGAATTTCAAATTTCTTAATGGCTTTGCCAGCCAGTCAGCCAGTCAGCCAGTCAGCCAGCCGGCTGGCTGCTGCTGTTGCTGTTGCTGCCACAGCCACTATGGGGTTGCAACTGCAGGCAGCAATTGCTGGGCTATTAGCTTAGATTTCGTTTACAACTTCGACGCCAGCCAGGCACACATTTGCCTCAATGTGGTTGATTTTTCAACAATTGTTTCCCCCCCAACTAGTTCCCAGTTCACCACAATTGGGCGAGCCTGCTGAGTAGTTTAGGAACAAATTAAAGAATCAAGCAACACGAATCAAGAAAACCTTGAATCCTAGCTTCCTTCAGCTCTTTTAAAATTATTTGTAATCTGAATGGATGAGAGAAAACTTGCACACGTTTATAGTTTTTGCGGAATCAGACAAAATAGCACTTGCTTGTTTCTAGTAGAATACGATTCTTATTCGCGTAAGTTTTTTAGCAATTGTTTTTCATCAATCTAGTTCGAGCTGCTCACCACATTTGGGCGAGCCTTCTCAGTAGTTTAGGAACAAATTAAAGAATTAAGCAACACGAATCAAGAATCTTGAATCCTTTAAAAAAATTTTGTAATCTCAATGGGCTAACTATTATGGAATGGAGAAATATTGTAGGGAATTCCAGTACTGGCGCCAAAGATTCTCCTTCGATATAATGTTATTTCCCTTCAGAGTTGTTTTTGGTTGTCAGGTTTGTCTGTCCGTCCGTATGAACATCTGGATCTGAGATACTATAAAAGATAGAGACACCAAATTTTGCATAAAGATGCCTCATGTGTGTACGCTATACGAGTTTGTTTTATTTTTTTGATTACCCCCAGTTAGCGATTGTGTGTCCGTATGCCGATTATGTGTCACTATGATAGACCGATTTAAAAAGAAGTTATAGCCATAAATAAATTTGCATCCGAAGCGTTGCTCAAGCGCTGCCCAACCGCTGCCCGCGACTGTTCTTGGTGCTACTGCTTTGGTTGACTGCAAACATGCTTACACAGACACGAATAGACGCGCATAAGCACGTGAGTTTACGTGAGTTCGAATACCGAAAGAGGTAAAATCGATCCAAATTTGTTTATAATTTTCTTAATTTTTTTTCCTATAATTATTGCAAACATATGTACAGTGTAT